GGGGGTGCGAGACAACAAACTGAACCGGGTAATTTATGGTCTACAGCAAACTAACTTCACCCCGCTTACGCGTCTGATCGTACCTCCACCTCCACTCAATTCCACCAAAGGAGTGCTTAAAATTCGAAGAAATGGAACCAGGCCTTAAACTTGCAAGCTGTGGATTTTAACAGTAGGGGGAGAGCGCATTCAACAAATGGTCCACCCGTCGCCCTTTGTAGTTCAACACTTTTTCCGGGGTCCGAACTCCAAGTCCGGTATACTAGCAGGGACCCGACCACCGCGTTAAACACGCATTTATTTGTATTTATTGGGTCAAAAGAACCAGACGGCTGTTTAGGACACTCTGCGTGATTAGCCACGACGGCCGTTGACAGGTATGGTTAACCACTTGTTTTTTTTTTTTTTTAAACCCCACACACCCACACCGACTTATTTGTTTCTTTATGACGTGTGGCCATTTATGTAGCGAACCTGGGGAAGGACACGAATCTTTTTTTAAAGGGGGGGGTGTCCTCTTGTCGTTTCGAACTGGCGAAAAAAATGACTAGTTTTTGGTTAGCTTGACTTAGCTCGCTAGCTACCCATGTTGCTAAGCTAACGACGTCAACGTCGTGGAACGTCTGTAAAAAAAACTCAGGGACTATAGTGTGGTCATTATTACTGTAGTAATTAAAATGTAATATCATTACATCGTATTTACATGAAGGTATTGCGTTTTTATTGTGATAACTGGACGTGGTAATTCACGAAAACACATTTTTTGCTGGAAACTTTCCCATTAAGTTGTACACGTGAAGGCTAAATGACTCCATATTGTGTATGTGGCAACATTAAGACCCCCAAAAGCATTGAAAAACTCTCTTATAGTCGGTGTTACATTTTTTGAACTTTGCGATTCAAACCAGGGAGTGGGTGTCCGAACTTCCTGTCAGGAGGTAAACTTTACAATCCAGCAACAAAACCTATAATTTACTGCCTTGTTAAAATGTGTGACTGCAACAAGAAAATAAAAATGCGCGTTGACGTCTTTATTCCACTCGAATGTGCAATTATTTCCAGTGTGTGCCTGACGTGTACTGTATCGTCAATTCCCCAAATCCCTGTCCAGGTCACCAATTAGAAAGTTGATCCACTCTTTTGGTAAAGTATAGCATTTCAAATTGCACAACATTCCAGACAAATGTCATGCAAACCTCAGTAAAGCCTGTATGAAACGGCATGAAGCTGAGCATCAAAAGAACACGAAGAATATGCATTGTTTTAAATTGACTGTTGTTTTTACTGATTTGTTTTCTTTCACTGATAGTTTTTTGCTCCAACTGGAAAATTACATTTTAGAGTAGTAGTCGTATGCACACCCTCCAAAAATAAACCACTAAAGTATTCGGAACAATTTAGACAGTGTGCCAACGCAGCATATATCATGAGACTTCAGCAAATCACGTGAGGCTTTGGTATCATAGGAAGGCATCGATTTTGATATTCTTTGGTGATGACCACAGAACCAGCTGTTTGTGTAAGTACTGGACATCGGTGGGAGCGCGCTCTGTTGGTGCTTAGTTTCCTCCTGGGGAAAAATGTGGTTGTCTGTGCTCCGCCATGTCAAAACTGTTGGTGCGTGACGAGGAGCCGCTTTGGTTGGATATGGTTGAAGTAGGCAGTGTCAACATCCACACCGGTGCAAAACTCCCTATTATACTTCTGCTTGCGCTCGTTTCTGGAACTACCAACACCTGGTCAGAGCTGCCTCTGCGCTCTGATCACTAAACTTAGAGTTCCATAGCGGCACACGAGAATACTACGTAGTTATCACCCTATGTGCACATGTTTTCAGCTGTAATCTTCAAGCATGTATTGATCTTGAGGCTGAGGTAGGTATCATTTAGCACCACAAGGACCAGTTCATAACCTTCCTGTCTGTCTATTTCCAGGAATGTCTGAGGGTAGTCTTGACACCGAATCGGGCAAGACCTCAGCTGAGGACCCTCGCATGGAAGCCGAGGAGAGTCCACGTGTTGGTGACCCGTCACCACCACCACCGTCTCCGCCAAATGCAGACAGTAGCGATAGCCCATCAGGGAACGATGTACTCTATGACATTAGTATAGACAGCGCTGAGGATAAGTCAGTCAGCAGCAACGAGGATGTTGTCCAGGGCGGGGATGAGGCCCTCAGTGTAGAAAATGGTGGCCACCCGACTGTGGACACAGCAGAGGAATGTGAAGACAGTGGCACTCAGAGAAAGGTGACGTTGACATTCACTTGTGAGCAGTCGGGATCCTTTTAGCGCTTCCTGTTTCGGGTTTATGGTGGTGGTTTCTCTTGTTCCCTCTGATTGCATAATCACTCTCCTCTTAGATTGGCTTTTGTGATGTGATTTTGGTCTCGAAGAAGCTCTAGCTTTCTCCGCTGCGTATTGCTTGGGGTGTTAACAATAGAGTTGCTTTATGTGTTGCTGTTCTGTGGTTTGGCTGTGTGTTGTGACCGCAAACATTTATTTTATTGCTTTCCCTACTTTTACGATGCTCCTGGTTCTTCGCTTTAAACTGGGATTTAAACTGATCTAATCTTGGGTTTTGGACCCCGCCCCCCCCCAAAAAAAAATATTTGTATGTGTGTGTGTGTGTATGAGAAATGTGTTTGGACTCCTCACCCGCACGTTCCGAGAGACTTAATTCCCTCCACCTGTTTTCCTTCATCGAGTTACCTCAAGTGCATTGTAATTATGACTGGTGGGATAAGGCGTGTCTGTATGGTTGGCATCAACATGATGTCCAGATTCTATGGTAATGGGCAACACGCTGATGAACAAGCGGCTCATTGTTGTGATTTGAGCTAATGTCTGTTGAATTGATGTCAACATGCCAAACCTAACGAGAGTCACTTTTTCACAGGCATACAATAGCCAAAGTATCTATTACTATATTGTTAATATACCGTATGACCGTAGGATATGATGCAGTCCCGTGAAGCGTCCAACAATTTCGAATTGGCCGTCAGTCAAGAACAACTGGTTTTGATTGATGTCCCGAGTAAATGACAAAATGGAAGCCAGCTTCTTGCACCTTTTTTAAATTATTTTTTTAATAAACATTTGGCAGAATAAGTAGAGCCTGAAACCCCAAATCTTCAATCCATATCTTATATATTAGCATTGCTTGAGTGAATAATACACTGCGGCTTGGCTGGCCATGCATGCGACAGTCAGCTACAACTGCGCACTTGAGGATTACGGTGCGCGAGGTCGCCTTATCTCCTGCTGGCGGTTGGACGAGTTAAACTGTCGGATCCTCTTCCTTTTCTGCCGCCCACCAGCATGCTGCCGTCAAATGGCCCTTTCGGTATTTATGCGCTGGTCATGTGACGCCGCACTTAAAGCGTTGGCCGCAACGGTACAACCCTTTTCTCGCCATGGAGTCATGAACTTTGGTTTTGTTTTAGTGAGGTGGGTTTCCTTTTGATCCAGTTAACTCTTTTCATGTATGTATCCTGTGTATATATACACTTCAGGCTCTGACCCACATCTTGCTTCTTGGCTCTCAGGTAGCCCGTTTGCTGGTCATGGTCCATAGTAATCAGTCATTGACAAGGTGAATCATCTGCATTCGCGGTTATGAAGAAAATAATGGTCTACGGTGAAGCATATAGATGCAGAGGTCTTCGTCTAGATTTCGCCTTCATTTTTTTTTTTTCACAATTCATAGACCTGACACTCGTCATGTCTGCTTGTCAAAACTCAAAGAAAAAAAACCATGATGTCACATCTGGCGGAGACCATCGGTTTGCCCATACTCAAGTGGTTTAACCCCGCTCGTGGTCAACGTCCACAAGATGGCAACCCACACCCGCCACGCCATCCTGGGGATGTTGTCACTAACTCGAAGGGGATTCTGTCCTCCCCATCACAGGAGGACGCCATGGCTGAGGAATCGCAGAGGAGCTCGGCCGCTGAGATCGCAGTCACCAGCAACGGAGACCTGGACCAGAGCCCGGAGGATGTGTTCTGCAGGGTGAGGCCTCGAACCACAACTGCAGCCATGACTGTGAAATGGCAACCATGAAGACTACTGCTTCTTCGACTGCTATTTACCAAAACTTGGAAATCATGTTGATGATGTTATTTGTTCATATTCCAATTCGATCAAGTGTTGCTATACATGTAATTTCTCAGAGGACAATGTGCGCAGACTTTATGGGCCCGTTGTACCACTTCTACTTCTTCAGCTAGCACTACCTCTTCACGACTTCTCCGACTGCTTCTCCTATTTTTGGGGGAAACTTCCACGACTACTGCTTCTCCTCATACCATCGTCTTTTTCTGCAATTACTTCCGCTTCTTACTTCCAATACCACATTGACTACATTGTCTGCTCTGCATTCACACACTTCTTACTTCCAAGTCAAATTTGCATCTTCTTCCATAGGACTCTTTCCCAGGGAAGCCGGCGTTTGCAGACCTTCCAGAGTCTTGCGTCCCCTCCGGCAACTTTGCATCAACGACAGAAGGGATCATTGATTCGGGTCCGTATACAGGTAAATCATCTAGATGAGCGTTGCTTATCGAGGAATTGGCAAGGACCTGCGCAACAAACAGATTTTGTTTCGGGTCCTTTTACCACCATGTATTTCGAAAGGCAGACATCATTTGAATTAAATGAGTCTCCTTTGCTTTTCATCCTCCTGTTAGAAGTGCAAATGTGAGTCTCTTTCTCTGTGGAGAGATCATCCATGTTGCCATGGCTATTTTCCGTGTGTTTGACACCGGTCCCACGCAGGCTTTTGTTTAGTGGCTGTCATCGAAATTAGAAGGAACCAACGGGGGAAATCAGTGCGAAACTCCTGACGATGCAAAAACGCCCAACGCCAATTGTGACTATCTCCCAGGGTCGTCGAGCCTCCCCGCGTCCCCCGTGGCTCCCTTTGCACCCAGCTCGGCTGTCGCAAGCCGCCTGGCACGCTCCTCCAGCGAGAGCCAGGCGGAGACAGGTACCCACGGTGACGGGCCAGGGATAGCCACGCAAACTAATCGCAGGCTATGCTCCCCTTACTGTTTCTTGTTCTTACCCGCTGTCTTTATCCCCGCAGGCTTGCGCTCCCATTTCGACTCGCCTTAATATCCGTTGCAACAAGACTGGGCTTGATTGATATCTGCTTTGTTGATCATGGTCATTGACCCACTGTGATCCAAACCCTAGATGCCTAAACATTAGTGTGACTTGGGTCAACAACTTACAAGCCGGTGGCAGCAGCTTTGAACTTTTGTCCCTGCAAAACATGAGCTCTGAAACTAACGATGTGTTAGGAGGTTAGCCACCAAAATCTGAACTAAACGTTTGTTGGATATTTAAACGTGAGTGTTGGAACTATACTCACATCTGGCTGTTTCACAACAGTTTGCTGAAATCCCTGTTAGGTAGCTTTTAAAAAACGTTTTAGTCATAAAATGTTATCTGAGAACAATATCATTTGCCTTCATCGTCTCCAAAATGAATGACTGAAAAGTTGGCAAAATTAGCAAGCAAACGTCAACAATTTGGGAAACAAATGTCATCAAATTGGATGAAAAGTTTCCCACCATTGGCAGGCAAACATCACCGAAAATCGGCGGCGTGACCAAGCAAAATGTCACCAAAGTTTACTAAAGTTGGAAAGAGAACATCACCCAGGCTAACGCGGTTTGCGATTCAAAAGTTGGCAAGTTAGCGCCACACGGGGGAACATTCTGAGGCTACGTTACAATTTGTGAAAACCAACATGACCAACCAACCTCATTCCGTTTTTGTTGTTGCCTGCATATCAGTTTCAGGGCTCAGTATGCTATTGCTCTTGATTGTGCTACGATTAACGATTTGACGAATGGTGCTACTCCTCACTCATCTTTGTTCACCAGCACTCTCTGCCTCCCTCACTGCAGCATTTAGCCGAAACTAATTTTCAAGCGCTAAATTCATATTTCTTATTAATCGCACAGATGGTACCAACACGCAGCCATCAAGTGGACCACTGGTCCTGTCGGACGACATGAAGAGTCCAGCCATGGAGAAACTAGACCTTGTCAGAAAGTGGAGCATCAACACTTACAAAGTAAGTCAATCTGGCTGGCTGTCTTAATCCCCCCCAACCCCCATTTTTTTTCTTGTCCCCTTAATGGAGCCTATAATGGCACCTCCATCTTTAATGAGATGATTTATTTATATATTTTTAGGGTCAATGAGTTGATTTAAATGTCATTTATCAAATTTACTATCACAATTCAAATCAATTGAGTAAAATCGAATAAATTGAGAGATGAGCTATCCGCATTGTTTTTCAGTTGGTGTTTGAACAGGCCGTCTTTTCCAGTGCACCCGTCAGATTCTGTCGGAGAAGCTCGGCCGTGGCTCCAAGACGGTAGATCTGGATCTGGAGGCCCAGATTGATGTGCTGCGCGACAACAAGCGCAAGTACCAGAACGTCATCAGGCTGGCGCAGACGCTGGCCGCACAGCTGGCGCAGATCATGCAGACGCAAAGGCAGCTCGGCGACGCCTTCGCCGACCTCAGCCTTAAGACACCCGAACTTCATGTGAGTGCCTTTTTCCTAGTGTAGGGGTGGACATCCGCTTGTGCTCAAAGACCACATTCATTTCTGTATCTATTTATTTAAAACGAGTGAATCGGTTTGGTGAGCCCTGAAGGAACAAGCTGAAAGGCGCAAAAAGCACCAAGATTTTAAAAATGGGTCTGCTAATTTGAGGTTTTTGAAACATGTATCTAAAAGTAGAAGTTTAATAATCAGTTCTCAGTCTTCAATGTTATTTTTTTGATGGAATTATTATTAATGCGCATTTAAAATATAAATTGTTAAAATGTTAAATCATGTGGATTTTTAAAAAATTATATTCAATAACATCAAAGAATAAAGTTATTTCAAATACAAGGAAGATTGATTTATTATTTTTTTAAATGGGACCGTATGTGTCTTAATCCGTATAGGACATTTGCAACCACCTGCTTTTACTTGGGTATCTTTCCCCCTATTTCCTGACATGCTACAGTCCAACCAAGCAACGGAATCATAATTTGTTTGTGTATGTGCAATGTCTATTTGAAGCAATGTCTAGTTTTTGAAGATAAAGGGATAGAAACTTAACATGTCTTGTTTTATAAAATCTGATTTATCAATTATTTAGTTGGAAAAAAAATCCAAAGATGAATCGATTATTCAAGATCAATGGGTAATTGTTTGAAATTTTTACACCAAATCCATGTGATTGGTATCAGCAGCTCAAACCCCTGATTGGAACATTCTCAGTAATTAGATATCATTGCTCATCACTGATTTTTATTTTATTTATTTTTTTCCATTTCAGGAGGAGTTTGGTTACAACGCTGACACCCAAAAGCTATTGTCCAAAAATGGGGAAACGTTGCTGGGTGCCATCACCTTCTTCATCAGCAGCGTCAACACCCTTGTGGACAAAACCATCGAGGACACCATGATCAACATCAAGCAGTACGAGATTGCCAGGTAATCTGCTCAGCGGTACCAAAACCCAATAGGCAAAACAAAATATAAATCACAGCAACCATAAATAACCAAACAAAATCGTATGCACTATTCAAAATACACCAGAGCTCCCTGGCGCTTTTCACACATGAAGTGCAGTTTTTTTTTTTATTACCTGTTGCTGGCTATGAGAGAGACCGAAATCTCCATTGATCAGTATGAGTGCACTGGGGTCGTAGATAATGCAGATCACAGAGTGAATGAAGTTACTCACGTTTGCTACAAGCTACATTTGAAATTAAACAAGCAACTGTGGTTTTCTAACAGCGCAAAGTTTGGCCGCTGGCGAGTAACACGCTTTCAAAGAGAATGGTTCAATTCTCCAGTCCCACGTTGTCATTTGTCTCGCTTCACTACTTAAAAGTGGCATTGTGGCTCTTGGTTGGTAGCTCCAACATTTTCTACACAACAAAATGGGCGGTGCCACAAAAATGCTGTCCGTTAAGGTGCAAAACGAGATGCGCCCAGTGGTCAAACCATCGCGGTCAAGCAGTGACCTTCTCCACAAAAAGGTTGGGCCGTCTAGATTTTGATGTATTTGAGATTTTAAAGGTTTAAGTTATGGAAACTTTTCTTCGCGTGCAGTTCATGTTTGTGTAGGAACACATTTAGTGCGCGACTGATAAGCCATGTTTAAGACAGTGGAATGTTGATATAATGAAACCCAGACTCAAGACGAAACATTAGAATGTGAAGCCAGCTGCGTTATTGCTACACTACGCTAACTCGGTTACACTTGATTCCATTTTACACCGTTTAACTTTGATGTCCTACGTACACCTGACAGGGTGGAGTACGACGCATACCGCACAGATCTGGAGGAGCTGAACTTGGGCCCGCGCGACGCCAACACCCTACCCAAGATAGAGCAGTCTCAGCAACTGTTCCAGGTGCACCGCGACAAGTACGAGAAGATGCGCAATGACGTCTCTGTCAAGCTCAAATTCCTGGAGGAGAACAAGGTTGGGGAAAAGAGGCCTCTTTCTCTCTCAAAGTTTTTCCGGGCTCAGAGGCGGAATTATCAATGTCGCATATCATATTGTACTAAACTACAGGAACACGGTTTGATAATATGTAAGGATTCCAACTGCACTTATTGTTTGTTATTGTTGTCATTTTAGGTGAAGGTGTTGCACAACCAGCTGATCCTCTTCCACAACGCCATTGCTGCCTACTACTCGGGCAACCAGCAGCAGCTGGAGCAAACGCTGAAGCAGTTCCACATCAAGTTGAAAGTGCCCGGCGGCGAGCGTCCGTCTTGGCTGGAGGAGCACTAAGGAAATGTCTAAACTAAAAGTGAAAACTACAGGGACCCCCCAAGCCACGCTCCTCTCTCCTGTCAGGAATGATGGCCTTTCAAAACAATCTTTTTTAGCAACAAAAAAGCTCGCGTCCATGAAGATGCTATTTTTCAATGGTACAATCTTTGGGGAAAAAATGCACTTTTGACATTTGACAAATCCATTGAACTGCAGTTAAACGCATTAAGGAAGCTGTAAAAAAAATGCCTTTTTGTATAACAGCGATATGAATGTTGTGACCCAACAGAATTGAAATGGCGTTTTTTTTTTTGTTGTCATTTTTGACTATGAGAGACAAATATTAACATTCCATGCAATTCTCTCACAGCCTCGGAGGCCTCTTCCTATAGTGATTAACACACATTTATGGTTCTGAGCTAATGTAAAAAAAAAAGATAAAAGTAGGCTAGTTAGAGGACACTTACTTCTAACCAGCACATTTTTTCCCGATACATACATTTTGTCTTGAAAGAAAACTACTCCTTGCACAGTAACATTATTTTGCCAGTTAACATATGACGCCTCTCAAACAAGGCTATCAGTTAGCATAGCAAAGTAGGTTTTTTTTTTTTCACATTTCAAGAAACAAGCCCATCTAAAACCAACTCACAAATCCTCAAGTTTTCGACGCTAGATGCTTTATTTTATTTGCAATTGTTGGGCTTTGCCCTGCTATGCTGACGCGATTAACCTAACCTCACCTAACTAAACACAACTTCAGTTTTCTGTAAACCAGTTAAATCCTTCAGAGATGACACGTTTGACACCGCTCGAACAAAGCTATCTGTTAGCATAGTTTAGCATGACAATCATATCAGAAAATGTAAATTGCAGATTAAAACAGACAAGCACTGCCAAAACTAAATCTCACAAATCAATTTATTTTTCTTTACACAAAGATAGCTCACCTTTACATTAAAGATCTGTTTTATGCTAATGCAGCTATGTTCTCATCGCAACAGACCAAAACATAACTCTAATCCTCAAATTTTAGGGACCATAAAATTGAAACCTCACTGTTTTTTTTTTTTTAAATTAACTCAAGAAAACAATCACTTACCCTTGCGCAGCTAAGCATTGAAACACAAGGGATGAAATATTAAGGCTTCTAAAGCTCACCAACCAACATAATTTCCTACTCATTTGTTTGATATGTTTAATCTTACAAATGCTCTATGTTCTGTTGACAAACTGTATGCTATGCTATGGTCACGGAGCTATGCTATGCTAATGTGGCAGTACTCTTGCATCATAATATACTGTATAACAGTTGGATTACTGTATTCAAGACGCGTGTCAATTGCAGTCACATCTATGAGCATTTCCAACAAACCTATTATTGTATGGCTACTTTCAAGCAATTCATCATAGTTTGTCTATAATCTAATGTCCTGACTTTTGGCGTCTTCTTTTTCAAGAAAAAATTAAGGACTTGCTAAATGTTTTGATAAAATGTGCCTTAACTTTGCTTTCTTTATGTGCTGCATGCTAATTGTTAAAAAAAAAAAAAAAAAAACAACTTCACTCCAAAATACAAACTCCTTCCGAAACATCACCACATGAAACACATGTTTTGGAATTACAGAAAGGTTACGTCTGATAGATTATACAAAAAAAATACATTATCTTAAAAATTGTTTATTGTAAATTTTGAAAGACCAGCATAACTCCGCTTTAAGCTGCTAATACTTTTCTTGATTTACCAGTTTAAAAAATATATATGTATATTTTTAAAAAGCAAGTGCGTCAAACACTCATATTAATAACTACCAGTCTCTCGTTTGCTCAATTTTCTACCGCTGACTTTTTATAGTTTGCTAGTGTGACTCTGGTTTGACACTCCAACTATGATATCTGAAAAAAGGTTTATATCTTTGCAATTTTGCCTAGTTTATGCCCTGTAGTCCTGGATGAGTACATTTTCCCTGAAGACTTCCATTGATTGATATGCTAAGTGCTAGCATGTGAAAGTGTATCTTTGTATGAGGGGAAAAAAACTTGGAAAAACGTGTTGGGTTTAAAATGATTTTGAATGCCATGTGCACAGTATAAAAAAAGTTGAGAAAATAAACGTCTTTCTTTTCATGATTTTATTGTTTTTAAACAGACATTGAAATTCAAATGTTTATTATGTTTTGTGTCAGAAAACAGTTGGCTGCCAACACTTTTCACTTTGGGGTTTATTTTCCATGGGACAGCAGTAGCTTATCTGTAAGGTTTTGAAGCAACGCTACTGTGCTGCTGTTGGGACTAAATACCAATATTGGTTGGTACAGTGGTAATACAAAGGTAGTTTGAGCTAGCTAGACTTTGCGTGCTATTTATGATACAGTACATCATATGACCGATCATGATTGGGAAAGATATTTACTGCCAGCTAACTTTTGCTGTCCATTTTTCCATCTTGATGCCACCTACTATCCACCCAAAGGCTGCTAGGAATGTGTCTAAATAGTGATATCCTTTTATATATTACCTCTCATGGTAGCTACGAAAACTTTTATGTTCACCAACCCTTTTGGAACTGATGAATGTGAAGGGCTACCAGTTTGTGCTGTATGTATCTAACAATTAGCAATTAATTGTATTTATTTATATGAAGACACTGATCATGTTAATGATGTGTCTTTATATTTGCAAATCAGATTTCTACATGCAACATTTTATTTCTGTAAAAATAGGTCAGCGTTCACATTTTCAAATGACCCCACCTTATTCCTGGGAAATAGCAATTCTCCCATTTGTTGGAAGTTTTATTGTAAGTGGTATCGTCTTATCGAGCTAACATTTTCTTTGCTAGAACTGTATTTTTTGTTTTCCCGCTCATTCTCTACACGCCACCACGTGAGCTGTGTCCTCGTGAACGCGCCCCCTCCACCTGACGTCGCGTTCGCTCAAGAGCACGCACTCAGTGCGTCCACAAGCTGCAGCTGGCTGGCGGGCTGGCTGGCTGAGCTTCGTGGAACGGTCCCTCTCCCCCGCACACTCAGCGTCTCTGCGGGGGCAGACAGTTTGTCTCCACCTCCCTTCGCAAGTCTCCTCGGCCACCAGCCGCGAGTCCAACGACGTCGGCGCGTTTTTTTTTAAACGTCTCCCGACCGAACCGAACCATCCTTACCCGGTAAGTGAGGCCTCGTTTCATCGGTGGTTGTCTTTGATTGTGCGATTGTGGGAACCGACTGTGGGTGGACAGGTTACTACCAGGGTCTTGTGGTGTTCCCAAGCCGGTTCAAAGTGTGCCTTTTGGGGCCAAACGTGTGCGTCAGTCACCGCTGCCTGTGTGGACCTGCGGAGTCAACTCACTAAGGTCACCGTGAGGTGGTTCTGCAATGCAGTGGAGGTCCACAATGACATCATTAATATAGTTTATTGTACTTTGCGGTTCCGAATCTGTTGCACCCATTGACATTTAATAGACACAAAGTCATCTGTATTACTCCAATAAAGTAATAAAGTAAGTTACTGTTAACTATTGGAGATTTGGCCCATTTGTTGTGGTTGTGTCCCTGGAGTTTTTTCAACAAAATGCAAATTCACAAGTTTGATGAAGCTTTTTTTGAGGGTTACAAATTTGTAGCTTTTTGTACTTTTATGTGTGGAGCATCACAAATTGTAAATGATGCGGTTGTTCGTTTTGCTCATAATGAATCCATGGCACTACAATAGCAGCTGTATTACTCTAACAGGATACGATAATATTCCATATCAATGTCTGCAATTTTGTATCATATAAATGATATGCCAAAATTGTCAACATAAACACAAAGGCCAACTCACTGATATCAACCCCCCCATTATAATTTTCAACAGTTTTTTTTTTATGTGGAGCAACTTATTATTGTTAGTTATATTGACTAGTTGTAATTAACATGTAATTTATGAAAATGATCCCTACAAAATTATTTACTCGCAATAGTTTGGACATGGAAAAAAAATGTTAGCCCTATTTGGGCTCAGATATTAACTTCCTGGTTCATGTAATTAATTGGTTTAACAAAAAAACCCTGAATTAATTTTGTATTTTTTCACAATTAGCTAACTTGTGGTCTGAGAGCTCGACACGACCTTTTAAAAGCTTTTACAACTGCGCCAGTTTGCGAGGCAGCCTTTACTTGGCTTTTGTACACTATGTTGCCTGCTGAGATGAGTTAGAGGCCAATCCATTCAAGTGTGCCGAACAATACCCCAGTGGAAGAAGGGAAAAAAAACCCTCCCCAGGTCGGGTCACTTGGGCGGGGGTTGGAAGGGTGGAGGTTGGGTGGTTGCTGTGGAGGCTGAGACTCGCATGGAAAACTTCTGACGTCATCTTACCGAGGAAGGTTTGAGGGTGGTGGGGGTGGGGCCTTGATTTATTTGTGTGAGACCGGGGCAGCCGCCTGAATGGTCGCTGCCAACGCAGGGTCCGCTCGAGTGTTCTTTATCGCCTGGAAATTAGTTTTACCAATGTGATTCTGTTGGGATTAACGGTTTAAAATCAAACAGCCCACTTGTCCCCACGCTTTGCTGGCCAAAAGCTGGCGATGAGAATTTTTTGCCAAGTTGCTCAGGGGAAAGCTAAAAAAAAGTGGGTTGAACATGAAGACTTCCGCCAAGGCTTAAGCGTGAATCAGTATTTTCGATCGATTTTAAAATGATTCTTTATAGTTTTCAGGCAGATATTTTATAATTGACCAAATTTTGAGGCAATCTAAAAAAAAAAAAAAAATTCCTACCCAAATAACAGTTTGATTGTTTTTTTTTTTTAATTTAGCCTTGAAATCAGTCCCACCAATTTTTACAGGGAGACTGTGGACAAAAACTTTAAAATTGAACTGCCCACGTGTCCCACCTAAAACCCAGCGACAATAAAATATTTAAAAGTCGCTGAGTGAAAGCTAAAAACAAACATTCAAAAATGGGTTAAACAAGAAGACCTCCGTCAAAGCTTGTCACTTGAATATCTGTAAAATTGGAACTGTCATGATTCTGTTTGTGACCAACAGGTGACACTGTAGGGTTCTCCCTGCAGCTGCACACCCGTTGGTCGTTATGTGATTAGTACCGGTCGTATAAAAGGACTCCCGGCACGACCACTCAGTGTCGGGTTATTGTGGCTGTTTGTTTGCTTCTGTCATGGTTGTTCTCAGTCATGTTTCGGTCATGGTTTTTGTTTGATACTTTGTTTAGGATTTAGTTTTCTCTATGTTTTAATACAATTTGTCAAGTTCACCCTGCTCCTCCCTCTTGCCTGCTTTTTGGGATCCACCACCACCTCGCAATGTGACAGGAACAACATTTAATACAATCGTAAAGAAGCAGATATGATTTATATTTAGAAGCAGATATATTGATTTGACGATACAAACTCAACTCAACTTTATTTATACATTACAAACAACCAAAGCTGCATACAAAGTGCTCTACATAAAGTCACATCCCAAAAAAAGCCTGCGAAAACCTCCACTGATACTCTTATTTGCTCAAATTAAAGGATTTTGAAAAGCCAAAAGTCACAACAAAAACAACATGAGCATCTCATCAAATAAGATGTGATGCTTCCGCTTTTTTTTTGACCAAGACACAAAAGTTCAGCATCGATTGTTTTTTTTTTTTTTTAATTCATCTCTTCACCCGTTTTACTTGCATACAAGATTCACACTAAACTGACCTTGACTAATATAATACTTGGGTGTTGTGAAAATTCAGGATGGATGCACTGCAGGTTTTTTTTCTTCCGACAGTTTAAAATTAAAGATAGCAAAATTGTGTTCCAATACTTGAATACATTTCTTTATACATGACACAAAAAGCCTTCCTTGAAATTGTCCCCAATTTATCAACCCCCCCCCCCCAAAAAAAATCACTCTACTTTTTGACCATATATAAGACAGGTGTGCTTCTTTCCAAATCATGTCCAATCAACAGATTTAGCACAGAATCTCACTGTGACGCTACGTTTTTGTCGAGGTGATTTATGTTTCCTATGCTCAAGTGAGTGTCTCGGTGCCCTGAGGGGTTGGGGCGGCTGGCACACAAACATGTTTGCATTCCCTCTGCCCCCTTTGCTTGATCCCGTCTCCATAACGACGCCAGCGCCTGCTCCACCTTTAAATAATGGCACCTGCGGAAGTGTCAGTTTAAAGCTGGGCTCAAACAAACTAGCCTGAGATCTCAGTGACACATTTGCCTTTTTAGTTTGGTTAGCTAGCGGATCAAATCGCTCAGGTAACACACGGGGAGTCGGCCGCGTGCTGCAGGCCAGAAACATCAGCTGTAACTTGTCCGCAACAAAAGAACAAAACGGGACGAGAGTCGCCCTTTGGTTTTGATCCGCCGTCGTGATGATTTTTGTCCAGTTTCTTAACGGGAGATTTTGAGAGTGTGAATCATTTGCGGTCAGCGTTGGACAAGTTGCCTCCAAAATGTAATTTGTTATGTATTGCTAGTCACTTTGTTTTGTTCGAGTCAGCCTTTGGACTTAAGAATAAATAAATAGATAAAAACAAGTCAAACTTATGAGAGAGACTTGGAAGCAGGGGCGGAGCCAACGATGGCTGTAAAGACAAGAAATAACAATTTTCAGACCACAAATTAGTATTTTTTTTTTTTTTTTGGGTCTGCTTCCTTTCACTTACTTGTTCACCCATCTGGTTGAAGTTGAATAAAAAAATACAAAATATTGATTTTTTTTTTTTTTTTTTTTTGCATGTCGCTTTAATGGGGTGATAGAAGGAACCGCCTTCTTCTATTTTTAGTCACATTGATGATTTGTGGGCCAGCGGAGCATCTCATTAGAGACCAAACTGAGGTGAATTCAATGGTGGGGATAAGACGTTCAGAAAACGGACGGATGGATGAAAACACGACTGACCGTCTTCAAGATTGATTCAGTGCGCAATGAATGCAACACCAAGACCAGTTGAAATTGTCTGAAAGCTTAACCTTGGCTTGAACCCCTCACCCAAGACCCTAACTCTTCTTTTCAACGAGAATCCTAGTTTGAAACCCTAACTTGAATAAATTACGCCTGTCTGGTTCTTAACTCTCAGATACTGTAATCTCTTAATCCAGGATTCCTGTATTAATACTGCTCTTTGTTTTCCGTGGTTCTTATGAGTCTTACATAAGCGTCCGTGTGGCCAATCAAGTGTCCAGTCAGTATCTCGGCATCCATCATCCCGTCCACGGTGGTCAGCGGGATGAAAAACAAAATGTTCGACAGCTCTCCGCTAACAAGCGTTCCCACGGCGACCGAGACGGGAGAGGATTGTCCCGTTACGTCCCATTGCAAGGCGCCCCTTTGCCCCCGCAGCGTCGCTGAAAGACCTCCAGCCGGCGGGGGGCCCCCCCTCAGGAAATTGGAAGTTAGTGACTGAGGGGGATTATGAAAGGCACATTGACCCTCCTATGTAACACAAAACGGGACTAATTCCCCATTGGTTTTGGGACTTTGTAGTTGTAGGGAAAAGAGCCAGTCGCCATTGCTTTGATTTGATTGTTCAAAATGAGCCGCAAAACTATGAATTCAATGTGAATTTATATTTGACGATGACAAAGTTGTGTTAATTGTTGAAACTAGTGTTTGTTTGTTTTTTCTAACTTTCCAACGGGAGCTAGGGAGTAAGGAATGCCTGCTTCAAACCAAAATGGCCGACTTTTTGGTATACTGTACCGTTTTATGATCGTCATATCCACCCAATTTTCTGTCATTTGGTGAAACTCGTGTCAGAGGCCAATTTTTAAAAACTTTCCATGGGCCTCTATGGAGTAAGAAATGGCTGCCTCAAACCAAAATGGCCGACTTCCTGTTCATTTTGTGGAATGAGCCCATGAGATTTTTTCATGCATCCCTTTATAAAAGACGTCCGCCCAATTTTTTGTACGTTGGTGAAACTAGAATCAGTTACGGGGAGGTTCGGGCTGGGGCCAAAGAGCTGCGCCGTCATCTGTCAGTGTCGCGTGACATAATATCGGGCGTGGCGTTGAGCGGGAACACCCTGAGGGGTCGGGAGCAGGTAGAGCCTCGCCACCAGACCTCACACGACCCGTGCATTGTTTTCATGCAAGAACTCTGGAAACTTCCCTGGGCTTCCTTGCCTTGTCGGCAGGGCGAGTGTCATGTTCCTGACAGCTACCTTTTCGCCAATGTCAATCATGGATGCTACACGCCATTGATACAATTGCTAGTGCTGGTATTGCTCCCTGTGAGGAGCGAGCTTTGTGCCCATGCTGAGAGACGAGCGTTCACAATCATTTAGCATTCAGCTACAGTGTTCCATTTGAATGAAAACACATGAGCATTACTTTTTGGACTTCATTAGCCACAAGCTAACGTTAGCCTCTGACTCAGCGAGGTCAGAGTTTGTTCTGGTGAATTAGACATGAGCTTGATCAATTAATCATGGACCCGAGTGTGGAGCTGCTAACGAGGCATGATGTTGACGCTTGTGGTGACATTCACGTTTGACACGAACAACTTAATGTTTTCTTTGAGGAGAGGAAAAAAAATATTGAAACGCTCCATTTGAGTCTGTCCGTCCACGGCGCATTGTTAGCATTGTTCGGTTACCTTGAAAATGGCAACAGAGGTATCATGTGACCAGACTGTTGGGAGTGTCAGGTGTGTTGTGACACTCGAGTACTTCCCGGCACTTTTTTTCTTCACACTGCCATGAACGCATCATCGTTTTTACCAAGGATTGTCTTTCAGATTCAGATTCAGAAAACTTTATTTATCCCCGTGGGGCAATTTGATGTTGTTTTGATAGTTTGTATTTAAGCCTGAAGCCCTAATTTGAAACCCTAGCCCAGGCTGAATCCTTAAGCGTGACTTAAAGTCCAACTTTGAAACATTAGCCTAGGGTTCAAACCTAATTTGAAACCCTAACCCAGGCTAGCATCGATAACCTTGACTGTAAAGGCCTATCCAACATACTAACCCTATCTAAAACCCCACTTTAAATTCCTAACCCTCACATAAAAGCCTACTTTTGAAACCTTAACCATGTCTTGAAACCCAATCTTGAATCCTCACTTCAAACCTTGGCTTAAAACCCTAACCCTGGTTTGAAACTCTAAATCAAAAAGCTGAACCCGAGCTTGAAGCTCTACTTTGAAAGCTTAACCCTGATTTGAAACCCCAATTTCAAACCTAACCCAGGTTAGGTTTTAAACCTACTTAGAAACAGTAACCCTGGCCTAAAATCCAACATAAAAAACCTACCCCTGTCTTCAAACGCAAATTCGAAACCCCATCTCCTGTTTGAAACTCTAACCCTGCCTCGACATGACTGACCATGAACCTTAATGTCAAATTAGTGTTACAGCGCTTCATACCGTACCGCATGCAAGCATGTGTAAGAACGCCAGACTTCAAAGCTCTTCAGAAACTGGAAAAAAAAAGATCTGAATATGTCCCTAGTTTTGAACTCCTTTGGACCTCTTTGATCCGCGCCCCTCCTTCCTCAGATTCTTGCTGATTGTCGGAGACAACACGCCTGACTTCCACCTCCTAATCCATTTTACCCCTTCCTTGTTGTTGTCACCCCAGCACGCTGAAAATTGACTTTTATTCAGCTGATAAATTGCTTATTGGAATGTCATTCTGTCAAAATCTCGGACACTGCATCGGCCTCAAATGATATCTTGTCAAGTCAAATATTCCTATTTTTACGATACATAAGTTCACTTCAATGAAAAATATATTCCTCAATTTTTCCGTTTTTTTTTTTTTTAACCCACTTTGTGCAGCGCAGCCCGATGGCCACCACCCTCCCCTTCCTGCCGGTGGTCCCCCTTAGTGCGATGGAGCCAAACAGAACGAAAGGACGCAGCCCCGTCCCGCCGAGGGACTGAAAAGTCTTCAGTGTGAAAGTAGTTAGCATTAGCGCTCATATGCTAACAAGCGCTCCCAGCCATGCTGGCCAGTGAGCCCCAGAGCAGCGGACCAGCCGCCTCGGGCGCGTCCTCCCTGTCCGTCACGCCGCCTCCGCCCCCTTTACCGCCCCCTCCCCCGCCTCCTCCATCCCTCGCGGTGGCCCACCCCGGCAGGAAGAAGCGTCGGGTGCGCAGCTTCTTCTGGAAGCCCATCCCCGAGGAGAAAGTCCATGAGAGACCCAACATCTGGACGCTGTCGGCGCGGCGGCAGCAGTACCAGATCGATGTGCGCTCCGTGGAGGAACTGTTCGGCCAGCAGGAGGAGGCGGGGACGGGCGGCCGGGGACCGCCGTCCGCTTCTGGGACAGCTGCCGGGGTCTCCCGATCCCGATCGTTCAAGGAGAGCAGCAAGGAAGAGGTGAGTCTTGACATCTTGATTGGCATACCTGGTGTAGCATCCACTGACTGACTTGCAGTTTGAGCGATGTCTACTTGAAAAATGGAAGCAGTAACATCGAACAATCACAGCTCTGTGCTTCATAATTGTCTTGATGACTGAGAAATGGGGACTAAAATCAAATAAAGCGTTAATAATCCTCAATTTGGGAATCCACTAAACCCCCCTCCATTGTGGGTTCCCAGTTCCGCTCTTTCTCTCACTTGTTATTATTTTGTCCAATAATAACTCAGTTTTTGGTTTAGGATGAAATTCCACTTTCGGCCCCTAGATGAGGGCACACTGTTCTTTATTAACACGGTAAACGTGAAAGTAGAGTGAAGCTCAAGGTGAGCCTAATTTTTGCTGAAGAGATGAGAAAGACATTATTGAATTTCTCATTCCTCTCCCATCCTCCGTTTTACGCCTCCATCCTTGGACATGATGTATATCGTCAGATGATAAGTTTGTATATTTGGAGAAAAAAAACAGGATTTCCCTACTGTAGATACATAGAGGGATCGGTTGGTAGCACGAACACAACAATATTTTGGTCTTATCCGTTGTCCTTGCTCACGCTCAATCTATTAAATGTTTTTAAATGTATATTATTTCAAAGTGTGTTTAGAGACCTTCAACAATGTGCTGCGGTTCTTGTTATGATTCACGCGTGGATCACCCAATGATAGGATGGCATTTCTGCGTGTGTGTGCAAGAGAAGCGGGGACGGTTCCAAAAGTGTCAACAAGCACCATGCTGCTGCTATTTGTACTACGACTTAATTTGCCTCAAGGGGCTGGTTAGGTAACGGTGCCAAGTTACTTGGAGTTTTTTTCCTTTCGTAAAGCAGACGCGTTGCATCATGACTCGCACTGTGAAAATACGTATTGTAACCCGACCTGTCATTTGATACTGCAGGTAAAAGGCTGGCGGTCAAAGATTGTAGGTTAGTTGTTAGTCATTATTTAGAAAATGTACAACCTGCGCAGTTCGCAGGTATATGTTAAAAAATTACCGACTGCCTAAACCAGGGGCGCCCAACCGTTTTTGACCCAAATTAAATTTTTTAAGCAGCCAATTTATCGGGATCAACCAGATCAGATACTGTGACTATTGTATTTATATTGCACTTAATTGAACTTATTGACCTTATCCATATTTATATTTATATTGCACTTAATTGAACTGTGTTTTCTTTTCTCTTCTTTCTACCCTCAATCTTGCTGCTGAAGGCTGTAAATTTCCCCAGTGTGGGACAAATAAAGGATATCTTATCTTATCTTATCTTATCACACGCTCATACATTCAAATTCACACACATGCACGCACGAACACACACGCTTCCTGCTTGGTCTTTGACATGTCGCCCTCTTATGTCTGCTTGCAGATCAGCATCCTGGACTCCAAGAGGGGAATGAACGTTGGCATTTTCCTCAAGCAGTTCAAAAAGTAAGTCCAGGCTCCTGTTGTTTTTCGAGTTTAAACAAGCGTAAAACTGTTTTAAAGCCCTCATACTTTTTTTTTCCTTAGGCGGATTAGGGTCTGAATATGTGTTTGTTAATGAGCTTTGTCACATTTCTGTTGTTTGTCCTTGATTAGATTAGAAAATCAGATTACGTAAGAGCAAAATGTCTCACGCATAACATTGAGAAGCGACAGCAGCTCGGTCGAATGGAATGTTAATCCAGCGTGGATGCACACATCATTGGCAGAGAAATTTGGAGCGCGTAATTTCTAGTGAGACATTTATCACTGTTTGCGTCACTCAAGATCAATTTAAAAGAAAAATGGTTCTTATCACTGTATTTTTTTTCTCTTTTTTTGTAAAACAGATACAACGTAATTTTCGTAAGATTAGAACATTTTCTATGGTTGAAAATCTACATTTCTTCCACATTTCTTCCCTTGAAAAGACATCATTCGTATCAAGACGGCTGTTTTTTTCAGCGACAACTTTTTTCTCTTGAAAAAAAATTACCCTTTTTTGGGGGGGGGGGTCTTTCTCAGCTGTGTACGCTTTCATGCCGAAGCAGCTTTTCTTTGCATCTGGGGAGTTTCATTTTTTACCAGTGTGTTTATTTCTAGGGATGTTGGATACCACTTTTTTCCAGACCGATACCATTACCAATATTCATTCCAACTGATGAGTCCCGATATCTCTGGAACTTTTGATATCTACAATTTAATTTAACTCAATGACATAAACATGTTAACAAAGACCTTTCTTTCTTATGTACATAATTCACCAATGTCTCAAACTGCAATATCGCGCTAACTACTGCAGAGGAGTGCTTACTTGTCAGATGTTTTTTTTTTCCCTTAAGTATTGATGGCTGGTATCGGCAGCAGCCACGAGTGCCCGATACCCGGCCTCGGTACTCACCCATCGCGAGTTATTTGTATTCTGATGGATATTTATTGAAAATTGTAGTTGGACGGAACAAGGTTTGATAGCAGCGACACCAAGATAAAAATAAAATAAAAACACTAGAGATGTTGAGATCCGAGTTGGACTCCTTGCCAGAAGCAAAAACAAAAAACCCCAAAACAAAACATATGACTACGACAGCAGTGAATTGCAATCAGGTTTTAGATTATTTATATTTGTCCATAATATAAAAATAATAAAATGTTTTCTGAGGTTTTTTTTTTCACAAGCTTACAGCATTTTTTTTTTTGTGTCAAAAGAAATAGGACTTTGTTGTCAAGATAATATGCACCTTAATGAACCAAAGTGAATCCCTCAATGATGTCTGCAGAGCTTCCTGTGTGTTGTTAAACGTTCTTTACAACCCGGCCTATGTAAACAAAACGCCTTTTGTGAACTTATTCCAAACGGCACACCTGTGCGCCACCTTCCTCCCTTTTAGGTCCAACCGTTGCATTGTGGAGGACATAAGGCAAGGACACGGCGGGACGTACGGAGCCCAGCCCCTCAAAGACCTGCTCAAGCTGCTGCCCGACGCGGACGAGGTCCTTGCCGGAGCATGTCGTCGTGTCAGGCTGACGACAACAAAACAAACAAAAAAACTTCCCCTTTCCCCTTCCGCAGATGAAGAAGCTGCAGGCGTTCCGAGGCAACCCGGACAAGCTGACGCTGGTGGACTCTTTTATGTTCCTGCTCATCCAGGTGCCGAGGTGAGTCGTTTTTTTTTGTTTGTTTGTTTTTTTTTTTCCATCAGGGTGGATTACTGCAATTTGTTCAAGGTTTCCTCTCAGGAGTCATAAAAGTTCTTATTGTGTCCCACCAATAAACTTGAGTTGGATCACATTCAGATTTCATCAGTGTATCACAGTGTATCACTATCACGATGAATCGATATTGATTGATCGCAGTGTATCAACAAAGCAAGATATCATTATCACAACATATCAGCTGTCGAACTCTATCAACATCAATCGTTACCGCAGTGTATCATGAGAGCTGTGATCTTATTGTTGGGAGGTATCGCGATACTGTTTCCCGAGTTATTCTCCAAACGTCAATCCGTGATTGTGATATCGGCATGACGACGGCATTTAAACCAAATGAAGTGTCATGAGACCATTTTTTGTTTCGTGTCAGGTTGGAGGTGCGCATCGAGGCCATGGTGCTCGGTGAAGAGTTTGCTCCTTCCTGCGTGCTCATGAGTCACGACATTGATGTGGTACGAGTTGCCATTCGAGGTAACCATGATGCACACGCCAGTGCCTGCGTGTGTGTGTGTGTGTGTGTGTGTGTGTGTGTGTGTGTGTGTGTGTGTGTGTGTGTGTGTGTGTGTGTGTATATGTTGTGTCTGCTTTTGTGTGTGTGTGTGTGTGTGTGTGTGTGTATGTGTGTATATGTTGTGTCTGCTTGCAAGTACGCTTCAACCTGATATTTGATGACACTGCTGTATTTTGATCAGTGCACCATTTCTGCATTTTTCATGAACGAATGAATGATGAGATGTAGCGGCAGAATACTTGGTAAAAACAATACTTGGAGATGAAACATTGCGAAAACGAAACATAATTTAACTTTGTGAGAGCTCACCGGGAATCAAACCCTGTTCTCTTGCGTGGGAAGCGAGAATTCTACTACTGAACAACCAATGCTCGATAGACATTTCATCGATCTTTTTTCCAGTAGTCCCAAGATATCAACCAAGGCAAAGATGAGCAGGAAGAATACACTGGCCGAAAACTATCTGTTGAGTTGATGATACATAACAATCAGACACCAAGAGACTCTGGTGTGTCCATCTTGGAAACAAAGAGCTGCATTGGCCGGGAATCGAACCCGGGCCTCTCGCATGGCAAGCGAGAATTCTACCACTGAACAACCAATGCTTGATTGACACTCTCTAAATAACTCTTTCAGTTGTCTGAGGACAACAAACCAACAACTTGGTGCAATGATGGACTTGGGGTGAACTCAACACTGAGACAAAACCTAACGAAAAGCTGATTCCAGATGAGCCTATCTTGTTAACAAAGAGTTGTATTAGCCGGGAATCGAACCCAGGCCTCTCGCATGTCAAGCGAGAATTTTACCAATGAACAACCAGTGCTTGATTGATATCTCGTTGATAACTATTTCAGTTGTCCGAGGACATTGACCAAGGCAGAAAACATCTGCAATGATGGACTTGGGGCGAACTCATCACTGAGACAAAACCTAATGAAACACTGATTCTGGATGAGCCCATCTTGTGGGCAAAGAGTTGCATTGGCCGGGAATCGAACCCGGGCCTCTCGCATGGCAAGCAAGAATTCTACCACTGAACAACCAATGCTTGGTTGATGATGGCCTATAGATAACTCTTTGAGTTGTCCGATGATATCGACCAAGAGAAACTGCGATGATGGACTTGCCGTCCTCAACATTGAGACATACCCAAAATACACCATGACTCCAGATGAGTCCATGTTGTTCACAAAGAGCTGCATTGGCCGGGAATTGAACCCAGGCCTCTCGCATGGCAGGCGAGAATTCTACTACTGAACAACCAATGCTCGATAGACATTTCATCGATCATTTTTCCAGTAGTCCCAAGACATCAACCAAGACAAGAAACGAGCAGGAAGAATACACTGGGCGTAAATTATCTGTTGAGTTCATGATCCATAACAGACACCATGAGCCTCTGGTGCGTCCATCTTGGAAACAAAGAGATGCATTGCTTAATTAACACAGTCTAGATAATTTTTTTCAGTCATCCGAAGACATCAAGCAAGGGAAGTTAAGATTCGCATTAAGAAGACACTTGGTGTTAACTATCGATTGAGATCATGATCCAAAACCAAAACACACCATGACTCCAGATGAGACTCTGGTGTGTCCATTTTGGTAACAAAGAGTTGCATTGTCTGGGAATCGAACCCAGGCCTCTCACATGGCCAGCAAAAACTCATCCACTGAACAATCAATGCTTGTGTGAGTTTGCATTTCAGTAGTCCAAAGACATCAAACAAGGAGAGGAGAATGCAGTACATGATCTTTCAGAGATGATGAATGAGACAGCTGCTTCGACATTGGCCCGCAAGAATTTTACAAATGAACAACCAATGCGCAAAGAGTTGCGGTTTTCAACCTCTATGTACACTTAGTGTACATTGAGCGTGTGTCCTGACATCCTGATTTGATTCCACAGAGTTAATGGGCTGCGAGGAACTTCACGCCATTTTGCATCTGGTGCTGCAGGCAGGAAATATTTTGAACGCGGTACGTGAAAGCCACGCAACGCAGTGTGATGCGCTAAAAACGATTCAATGTTGTCCTGTTGGTTTACGTTTGCTCAGGGTGGCTACGCGGGCAACGCCGTGGGCTTCAAATTGTCGTCACTGCTCTCATTGGCCGACACCAAAGCCAACAAGCCGGGGATGAACCTGCTGCACTTTGTCGCAATGGTAGCCAAAAATGTTTTTAGCCGTTTGTGCAAACAAAAATAGATTCGATTGAATATGTTGATTTGTTTATAGGATTTTTAATTGCGGTCATTTCCGTTTTAACTTCATATTTTGTGTTTTGTGCTTCATCATCTTTTCATTTTTATTCATCACTTTTACTGTTTTACAAACTGCTTTTTACAGCCGGACTCAGAAATATTTATGTTTTTAATGAATTCTTACCTTCTGTAATAATTTATGCCTTTTTAATTTCAGATTTTTTTAATTAATATTTTAGAGATCAACGACGTATTCTGTTTTCTTACATTTAAATCCGTTTCAAAATTATATTTGACAAATGCCGTCTGCACTATCAGGCTGGAGCACCAGCCATCATGCCCCATGCTCAAAACGTCGCGTTAACAAACATGCTTCTTCTCGTAGGAGGCCCAGAAAAAAGACGAGGTGCTCTTAAAATTTCCGGAAAAACTGATCCACATCCAGAGTGCAGCAAGGTAACGTTAAAAAAAGAAGAATGTCTTGAGTAAAAATGTAAAAATGTACATCGAAGTAAACTTAATTCTATCAAAACTTAAAATTACAGTACAGTACATGTAATAAAAATGTTAAACATTACATTTGAAAAGTTTCTGCAAGTCGAACAGGTCAATTTAAAACGGAAAAGTTATGACTCCTTTCAGTGTAAAACTCATTATGTTTAAATGGTAAACATGTAAAACATATCACCGGTACATTAAATGTGTAAAACATTTTGTGGTGAAGGTGCAACAGAATTACCGGTAAGTAAATACGTAAAAATCATTCAATTAAAACATAATACATAACTAGAAACGTCAGTCATTATTGACATATATATTACATGTCGTACAATGTGCGATCATGTGTATGTAATGTCGAGTGAACGGTAAAACCGTGCGTTTAATGATTTTTTTTTTGCCCTACCTCCTTGCATAGGATCTCCGTTGAGAACATGGAGCTGGAGTTCTCATCCTTGTACGTCCGCATCCAAACCCTCGGCGAGAAGGTGCAGGGAGACCCCGAGTTACTGCGGCAGCTGGAGCCTTTCCTGCAGGTCTCTCAGTCGATCAATCAATCGCCAAGAAATGTGGTACCATGCGGAAATGAAGCGGAAGAATGCGTCGTTGGATTCGTGCCGCCTGATTGATATTCCAAATGTTTTCAGAGTTCCGGGAAGACGCTTGCAGATCTGAAGCGTCGTCGCCTGGAGCTTCGCAAAGAAGGCAACGCGCTGGTGGACTTCTTCTGTGAGGACAAGGATGCTTTCAAGCTGGATGAAGGATTCCGCATCTTCAATGACTTCTGCGTCAAGTTCAAGAAAGCTGTCAAGGTCCGGCTTTGAACATCCACGATTCGTTTCAGAAACTCATTTTCCATTTTTGGGGCGGGGGGTTTTCCCCGCAGGACAACGCTGAGCGTGAGCTGAAGGAGGTGGCGAGGCAGCGTCGCCTGAGGGAGCTGGAAGAAAAACGATTGGCGTGGTCGGTCGAAGATGGCGGCGGCGGTAGCGCGTTCGCTCGCAGCAGCAGTGAGAACGACGTGGAGACCCTTACCAAGGAAAGCCTCCTGGACTTCTTTCAGGGGAGGTCCAAGAGCCCTCACAGCCCATCGGGACGCTCATCCAGTGCCCGCCGCCACCGCTACACTCTGACATCCATCGCAGACCGGGAACTCCGCAGCTACCTGGAGCTTTTCGGGGACAAGTTCAACAGCCTGCCACGGTCAGGCCGTGCACTCCAGCGCAAAACCGCCCCTTGGATGGACAACCGAGACCTGACATCTCCTCACGCTGACACCGAGCCCATCAGCCCTCTTGCTCGGTTTTCCTCGGTGGGTCTGAAAGCCGATGAGGACCGATACAACAACACCAGTGGCTGCACAACTGCGCCTCAATCATTTGACGGCCATATGAATGTAAACGTAGAGAAACATACTTTGGTTCCTGGTCTGCAAGTGTTTCACCTCCAGAGTCCAAAATTTGTCAACCAGGGCGACGTCCAGGTGATGGATCTGGAACAAGACAGGCGACCCCCTTCCGGGACTCTGGATACGGTTCCAGGAGTAGCAATCAATTCTTTGATGCAAGAGGACGAGACTAGTTCAATTTCCTCGACAACCTGTGACACCCCGCTGCCCTCAGACACCCCGTTGTCCAATAGGAAGCCTGCATTTTACATACCAGACTCTACCGAAGCGGACTGCTCAGTCACCCTGGACGTTTCCGAAGCAGACAGCTCATCCTTTTCGAAAGAGGGACCTCACACTGGAACGCTTGACAAGGACAGGGAGAGCCCTATAGAGCTCCCGCCAGGAGAGTCGCCAGTACCCAGAATGATGGATGCCGCCTCTTCGACACCGCCAGAGTGGGGAACGGAAAGCTTCAACACCGCCATAGTGAAAGAGAATTTGAGAAGCAGCAGGAAACCAGTACGCACCAAAAGCAAGGCGGGGTGCGAAAGCGGCAGCGTGGACAGTGATGATCCCAACGGGAGCACCAACAGTGGCAGCGGTGAAGTCGCTCCCAGCGGCAGCATTGGTGAAGTGCGGAAAGTAACCTGCAGGGAGAGCCAGAGCATGCGGAAAGTGGTGCCTATTAGCCGGCTAAATAGGACAGATAGCAAAAAGAAAGCAGAGACAATCCTTGATCGGCCCCTCCGCGAACAAAGCACCCCACCAAAAGGACAACGCGAGACAAACCCCAGACCTCAGCGACACTCCAGTCTACCTCCCGACGACTCCAAAGCCCAGAGAGGAGGCGGTGGCCTCCCAACTAGTGCATCAAGATGCCCATTTGATTCCAGTAACTTGAAGAAGACTTCTGTCAATAAACCAAGCGCCAAACCCTTGAGGAACCTCCCCAAACTGGCGCCCGAGGAGAAAATGTGCCGCTCGACCATGAGGGCCCTGGGACAGACGCAAGTCTCGAGCAGTTCGCTGTCGGAAAGCGGCAGCTCGCAGGCGCCGGGCACCAAGAGCTCCCCTGATGTCCCGAGCTTCGCCCGGAACACGGTGGCGTCGTCTTCCCGGACCAAGAAGGAACCGCTCGCCCTGTCCATGGTGTCTCACATTCCCACCAGCCTCAGTCGACATGCGTCCGTCAAGCAGACTAGATTAACGTCTTCGGTTTCTGGTGGAGAGGAGCGGACGACCGTGCGGCGGGTGCAGAGCGTCAAAGCGAGCAGTCGCAGCACCTACCGGAGCCGGACGCCGCCTGCCCAGGCTCGGGATGTGGGGACACCCAGCGCGAGTGGCAAGCCCAGCTGGAAGTGAACCGCAATCAACCAATGATGTTCTTTCTCGAGAATGGGACACTGACTACATCAACATTTTCACCGCAGGAACTCACCAAGGTTAAATAAAGGATCGGTCATTTTCGGACTCAGATCCCCAAAATCACCAATAACTTATTTGAATATCTTTGCCGTTAAAAAAAAAGAATTATTATTGGGGGGGGGGGGTGGCAGTCGGCCAGTGTTATCGATTAATTTGATAGTTAGTTTCAGATTAATCATTGCACCTCTCATTGTAACATACTCTAAAATCCCGTTGGTACAATGCGAGTATGAAACCTGAGACCACGCTCCTCTCCATAATGGAGTTAGCCCATTATGTTCTCAATTTTTCCATTCACTCGGCTACAATAGTGACGATTTCTATCAGAAAAAATAATTCTGATGAGTTCCTGTGGCAGAGATGCACCTGTATTGTTGTACGTGTATGTCTCCAATTTTTTTTTTTTTTTTAATGTTTTGCAGAACACAGCTAACACGCCGCATGACGTGATCATTACGTGAACAACTGCTTTCACGTTACAGTGTAGCTCAGCTAGAATACGTAGACAAAACCGTAACCTGTTATGAAACGTTCGCTATGAGTTGTGCCTGTTGGTCGTGTTTCGAGAACGCCTCCGTACCGTCATGGGGAAGCATGGCATGCTATGACGCTAATGCTAACCAAGCATTTAAGACTCCATGATGTGATGGGGGGGGGTTCGTTATTCATGTTATTATTTTGTATTATTTGCGCGAGATGGGCGATTTGACTGTGAATGTAGCACCTGCTCATTTAATAGTAACAACTGTTACTGTGTGTAGCGTTAACTCGGCTGGTTAAAAGATTAGGTACACCAATTTCTGAAAGGCGCAGCAAAGTGGCCAGTGTCGATGATGTTGATATTATTCCAAGCAAATGTACATGCGTCCATAATGAACGCTATGTTATAAAGTTTAGATTTTGGATAAATGAATGTTGGGGCCTCATCTGAGTTGGGGTTTTTTTTCCCAGAGGAAAAAAAATTGTACTGTTACGAGAATGAAGTTGTAAATTTAGAGAGTGAATGTCAATCACTAGTCTGACCCAATTTATTCTTGTCTTTTACCAAAGATCTAGTTTTAATTCTGTAATGCAAATAATCACAATTTATTCAAAGTAGAATATTCTTTTTTTTCCAAAATTAAGACTAAATACCCTATGTTCATAAATGACTACTAATCTTATAAAATGACCAGTTTTTGGAACAAATTGTTTCTTGTGTTATTCATGGTAAATCTGCTGTAAAAAAAAAAAAAAATTAAATTTGCCGACCTTATTCTTCAAACCCTTTCAATTCAAATTACAACATTGATCAAAGCTTTATGCTTTTTTTTCTTTTGTGAAATTTAGATTTTTTGTTGTTAATTGATGTACCTTTATCATCCTAATTTATTCTTGATAATGACATTGTTCTCATTGAAAACAAAGAAAAATAACGTTATTGCGCGACTATATTCTTGTAAAATTCAACATTTAAATGACCAGTTTTGGAAAAAAAAATGGACCATCATTTTTTCCTGGTAAAATCAAGCCTTATTTGTAGTCAATTTATTCTGCTAATTTATTCTTGAACGTGACAATGTTATTATCATAAAATGACACAATTTTTTCTGGGAATATTGTGGCCCAACATCACATTTCTTTTACACCTTCATTCTTATAATATCGCAACTTTTGTTCTTGTGAAATTCTGACTTGATTCAACTTTTTTAAACCAAGTATTGTACTGTTTTTATTGTTAAATTATTAACTATTGTAAATTATGACTTTCTCATTTAATTTGACTTTACTGTCACAAAATCCCACATTTTCCTTCAAAGAAATTCTGAAAATTCACACAAATTTACAAATTCAATTTTTTTTGTATTTTGACCTCATTCCTGTAAAATTACAGCTTTTTTTTAAACTCGGAATGTTACTACTTTAGCCTGATAATATTTTGACTACTTATGTAAAACCACAACCTTTTTCTGCCAACATGACAACTTTATTCTCGTTTAGCGCTGCCTTATATTTTTGACTGTAATGTTTGAACTTTTCTCATCAAATATTGCCTCTTTTCATGTTTTTAATGCTTCTCGATTTGGGCCTTGCGTGGTTTGGTCTTGTTGCCTTTTCCGCTGTTATCATTTTGTCAAGCTTGTCTTATTATCGACATAGGCCTCGTGAAGTGCATTGTGCCATTGTCTCCATGGCAACCACACACACACACACACACACACACACAAACAAATAGAACAACCTGTTGCCTTAAAGCCTTGTGTAGCTCCATACTTGCATATCAAAATTGATCCATCCATCCAGCTGCTCTCTGTACATACTATAAAGACATCGTATTTTTCTGACCATTAAAGCTTTATACACAGCACTTGAAGACTCTTGTGTGCGTGCGTATGTATGTGCGTGAGTATGCGAATGTTTGACTGTCATGCAAATCAAGCTGGTGGCACACAAAAGAGACAATGGCACGTTGTCATGACAGCTGGTTTGGTGGTGGTCACTATATTAGGGACAACCGCCGGCACTATCTTCATGATATCCAAGATAAACGTTTTAACCCCATGGTAATACTTGGACTATTTTTACACACCTAATAGTCAGACTTTTTCCTCCGAAAAATAAAACCGCCCTCACAATAAATTTTTATTCCTGGGAATATTTGCATTTTTTCCCCCTCATAAAATTCCGATTTTTTTTCTTGGAATATTATGACTGTCCTCAGTAAATAACAGTAGCACTTAAAATAGTTGTTATTCTTGTATAAATTAACACTTTGTATCCTTGCAGAATGTTTAAAACATCAAAACATTTGGGCTTTATTCTTGTCAGATTATGATTTCCTTCCTCTGTAATATTGATTGAAACTTTGAATTTTAACCCCTCCAAATTAGCAAAATTTTACCTAAATATTTCAGTTTAATTAAAAAAAAATACTCCCATTCTACACAACAGTTTTATTGACGTATTATCAACACAAATTCCCCATACTGCTGCAAAAAAATGTTTTGAACACACTTGAATGGCATTGTGTGTGTCTTGGTTTAATTTGCTCTACTTGCTATGCGCGCTTTGGCCTGCTAGAGGCGGTGTGGTGCACGAATGCCGATAACACACCAAACAAGTACTGTATAGTTAGTACATTTCATTTCAACGACCAGAAGAAGAAAATTGAACTTGAACTACATAAATTTGACTAAGAACTAAGGATGAGTATTGTTATATTTTCTGTCTGCATGTTTTCCGAAACTGATTGTGTGTGAATATATGATAATTAAATGTATTTCTGTTTCTTCCGAGTGCGCACCTGGAGGGGGGAAAAAAAGAGAACCAGCCCCGGGTTTCGCTCGGATAGCCCGCCCGGGGCGCTCACCTGCCGCCCACGTTAACGAGAACGCCGCGACACATTGTCATGAAGCTCTGGGTAAGACCGACAGCACTGAATAAAATACAATGAAGTTGAGACATCTCAAAAAATCATGAATCCAAATCAACTTAAGTGGAATTCAAAATCACGCCTCAATGAACACTGTATCAGTCTGTCTGTCGTATACTGCCCCCAGGTGGGCAAGGTGAGAACACCACAAGGCGCAGTATTACATTTTACTGTGACCCAAAAAAAACCCATCACTGGATGTTTTTTTTAAAAAAATAAATGTAAAGTAAAATATTATGTAGTGATGTTTTGTTTGTTGGTTTCTACATTAAAATACATTTCCTAATGTTTATTTATTTATTTGTGTGTGGCGGTGGTGAGGGGGGCGTATGAGGGGACAGTTTCAGGCATTTCTATTCATTTCACTGGGAATATTTCAAGGCACCGGTGTTGGGGACAAATGAGTCAGACTTTATTTCTGATTGCATCCCAGCTTGCACCCCTGCCGACACCTTTCACGGGGCGCAACAACAACTATGAAACTCTTCATTTCTCTGCTCGTTAGTTGACACGTCTCATTTTTGTTCAAACGTCACTCCATGCTGTCAAATGTACTTCTTTGCCACAAGAGGGCTACAGAGAGTTTTGCATCCTCATCGTCTCATAAACTGTTCTACGGTAGGCGTGTATACAGTATTAGATGGACTGTATGTACAATGTAGTTGTCTGTAGAGTGATGTGTGCAATGTTTCATTGTTTCAAGGAGCTGGTGGCTCCTGTTGTTGCTCAGGGGGTTGCCACCTCTGGGTCTCTCTCATCCTGCCCCAAACTACAATGTGAGTAGGCCTCATATTTTATTTTATTTTTATTTGGCTCTTTTAGTTATGAACTGAAAAAAAATGTGATCAACAAATGAAATACATTCAGAGCACGCATTTTACTCGTATTTGGGTATTTTGTCCATACACTATTGAAAATAGCATGGTTAGCAAGTGCGTGGTCCTATGTGGTGATACTTGAGTAGAATTTACTCGTATGCTGAATACCAGCAGTATGTTGATGAGCATGTTTCAACGAGATGTCAAAGAGGAGGCGATTTGTTGGCGTGTCCACCTGTCTGCGTGCCCGCGCGCGCGCATATGTTTGTGTTTTAGCGGTCATTTGCGAGGGATTATGCTCGTCTCAATCCTTCTTTATCCCGCAGCTCAGTGTCACACCTCAAGACTACTCACTCACTCACTTACATGCCATGCTGACTTTCCCTGACATACCACCTCCAATTCATTACTACTTTGGCTACTACCGCATACCGTGCGTTTTCTGCGTTAACAATGTTTTTTTCTGCAATGTTTTGGAAATGACACCGGAGTGACGCAATGGGTGAGCTGTGCTGACATCACAACGCAAGCAGTGAAATGGGGTCATTGTATTGAATGTTTTTAGTCTGTGTCTTAATGCCTATTTGTTAATTCTGGTGCAGAGTTCGGTTGAGTTCTCTCGTTGCTTCTGTTTTGAATGCAGATGACATGAACGTGAGGTCCCAAGTGTGAGTGAGTGTGGATTTTTAAGAGGCACAAAACGGAAAAAGACATGAGGTAAGACAAGTTCTTATAGTATGGCTATGCCAAGGTCTTTTAAGTTGCCTTTTTGAGAGTTTTCACACACTTAAAAAAAATGGAGCAGCACCTGAATACAATTACATTTAGCAACATGAAGTTTTTTGGGCGTGTTTATTATGAGTAGAGCCACCAAAAAGTTTGAAGAAGCCATACCTGAATTTACACTGTAAGTCTGCCGTTCTGCTTTTAAGTTTACGTTTGGGCTCACGGCACCACTCCAGAATTTTCCGAATAATTCAACCATCAAAGACAGTGTCACTTAGCAACAGTAGCCCGACAAAAAGTCTCAAGAATCCTTCCCTTAAAACATGCAAGAAGTCTACCACTTTGGTTTGAAGCAGCCATTTTGGGGCAGAAGCACCCTCCAATTTTTAAAAACACTTATCAAGTCCCCAAAGACAGTTTTACCGAGCAAAATGAAATTTAGTAGGAAGGTCGATCATCAGGAGACCCACACAAAGCCATGCTTGATATCAGAAACGTGAAAATTTGCTATCGCGGTTTGAAATGTCCATGTTGGCTCAGCAGTGCCCTCCAGAATTGTTTTAAAATTCCCCCCTCAAGACATTTTCCTTTAGGAGCATGAAAAGTGTTAGCCATGTGTATGTTTTGTGGCCCTAGTACTCCCCCCCCCCCAAAAAAAAACCTCAAGACGCCATGCCTGAAAAGACGTGAAGTCTGCTATTTTGATGCGAAGTTTTTTTAGGGTTTTTTTTCTCCAGGAATTCTTCATTGACCAACTACCCCTGCAGATTTTGTCCGATTGCTACCAAATTTGAAACATGTACACAAAATGAAAACAATTCTTGCGGCGGTCCCGTGGTTGTGTGCCTTGCATGCTAAACAGTTCCTCTTTAAAACTACAGGCCCCCCTGACAGCCCCTTCCAACCACCTCGATGCCCACCGACAATAAAAGCTCTCATTCCATTGTACCAAATCATTAATGGAACAGAAATGCAAATAACTTTTCCCGCTCTTCTCACTTTTTTTTTTTTTTTTTTTTTTTTAATGAAAAGAGTCTTTTGTGGGATGCTGCATTGATGGAGTGTTGCCATGGTGAAACCTTTGTTACCCCCAAGAGCACACTACTCAGCTAGCATGTTCTGTGGAAAAATGATTTGTTACTTAAATCTATTTGGAAACATCAGAAATGATGTTAACAATCATAAAATGATGACGAAAGAATTCATTTGTGTCTGAGCATCGAAAATATTTTAGTACGTGAATATGGGAATATTTCTTTAAGTGCTTTGCACAAGGTGCTATTGGACTGCAATGGTGTACCTAATGAAGTGACCCGAGGAGTATTTGTTTCACTGTAAACTTTTTGGGGGGAGGGCTCAATAAATATATAAAAACATCTATATATCTAGATCTATATAGATGTGATGACAATGGGGGGGGGGGGGGGGGGGGTCAATTCTGGCTCCGGCCTTCTTGTGTGGAGTTTGCATGCTGCATGTTCCCCCCGTGCCTCCGTGGATTTTCTCCGGGTATTATGGTTTCCAAAAACGTGCATGGCAAACAACATTAGCAGTAAATTAGCGTGAGCTGCACCGCTTACAAGAAAACAACATGTCTGCTCAATCGGCTGTTGGCTGTTTGCCGCAACAAAACAACACAGACACGAAGACGCGGCTGCAGACGGCTTGTCGCCTTATCTGGCTTCGCCAGAAACACGAGCTTGACACACATGTTGACCACCTCGCGTGACACATTCGACACCCAGGAAGTGGCCCCGGCCCATCACTGCAATCTCACGTCATCCTGCACCCGGTGCGGGCCCAAGATTAGATTGGAATTGAGATGCATTGCCCATTTGGGCACATTGAAGAAGCGCATCGCTAACTCTAACAGGAGCACCTCCCAAGGCAAGGGAGCAGCCTCCGGAATGAATTGAAGAGTCGATTTTAACGTGTAAGCAATTCATATTGAGTCGGTGGATTGAAACTTTAAAATGTTTCATCCATCGATTCATTTTCATTCGTCTCAGGGGGCTGCCATTATGGCCAATACTGAGCTCTGCTGTTGACTGGAAGTGACATCAAAATGCCTTCGGGCTCACATTGCCCAACCCAGGTGCACTGTGATTACTCGTTACGTCAGCCTTTAAACACCATGATGTCATTTTTAGTCGACAGCAGAGGGCGGTATTGACCAACATGGCCGTCCCTGAGATGGATAAAACCAGATGGATTATGGTACATATTGCTTATAAAAAGAGAGGCAGTTAAATGTGACGCCATGGAAAATGTGGGTGCACCACAGAAAAAAAGTTGGGAGTCTAGAGCCCTGACATGAATTCAAAACAAATACAACATAATTTATACACATGTTTTCATAAATACACAAAGCATCCTTTTAAAATAAAAATGAAAGTAAACGTTCAATTAAAATCATTTTTCCAAAGATGGTCAGAATTAAAAGCAACTCAAAGCAAAAACATGAATACATAAATGCACTGACATTTAAAAAAAAAAACAATTCCAAACAAATAAAAACATTCCTCAATAAATAAACAGCTCTCATTGTCAAATGAATAAAATTTGCCCCCCCCCCCGCCCCTTTTTTTGGGGTGAGTCAGCATCTGAGGCTCCCCCGTCGGGAGCGCCCATAATGCCATCTGCTTGGTCCTCATTCGTCATCCCTCCAGCCCCCCTCCCTCCTGCCTCCCTCCATCCATCCCTCCATCCATCCGTGCTGCACAGGCTCAAAGGCAGGGAGACGACGTTTACTTGAGAACAAGAGGGATGTGACGGGGGGAAGAGGAAGAGGCTATTCCCAAGTATTTACAAGTGAGTCACATGATGATGATGATGACAATGATTACACCTTCTGTTGTGATGCCTGCTACATCCCGGTTGCCATCCACTTTGTTTCGGACGTTCCCATTTTGTTATTTGCCAGCCTGAAAGGGGGAATGACCGCGCGACAGGATTACATAAGAGCAGTGTGTGTGTGTGTGCGGTGCGTGCGTGTGTGTGTGTGCGCGCGTGCGTGCGTGCGTGTGTGTGTGTGCGCGCGTGCGTGCGTGCGTGTGTGTGTGTGCGCGCGTGCGTGCGTGCGTGTGTGTGTGTGCGCGCGTGCGTGCGTGCGTGTGTGTGTGTGCGTTGAGGCGGTTGTGCAGTTGTGTTTGCATTTCGCAAGCCCGGCCAACGGAACGTGGCTTTTTCATCCTTGTTTTTAAGGAGGGAGCTCATCTGCCAAAATGTACGGTTGTTTCCGGAAGAGTCGGCTTTCGGGTACCAGATGTGTAAAAGTGGTCATGCTTTAAAAGTAGTAAATACATATTCAGTAGTCCCGGGAGATTCTGTTGCAGAATCTCGACCATAAATTTGGATATGTCTTTGCATATCCACAAAAGCTGTCCAGGACATAAACCAATTTATCAGTAGCTGTGGTTTCTATTTTCTCATTCTGCCGACTTCCACTCTTGTTTTTGTTTAACCAGCCTAGCTGTGTCAAATGTCATTTTTTGTGTGTGCTACGGGCCGCTGAAAAATTTATAGTGGGCCACAATGGCCCTAGAGCCATAGTTTGGACACCACATCATATATAAAATACCAACCCAAAATATGCATGTGAGGGGCAGGTGCTTGTTTTGTCCACATTGGGGTTGCCATCCCCATGTTCTTCACTGTAGTATCTGTGACGTTGTATTTCGGTGGCTTTAAAGATCCGTGCCTAGTCTGGTGAGTGACGTGGGAGCTAGTGAAAGACATTGCATTCTTGGCCGTGTTAGCTCAAGATAGCTTGCGCTTGTCGCTAACCTTTAGCCCGTGTGCATGTCGAGTTACTTGCCGTAAACCGTGGCCAACAACTTGTCGGAAGTGAGCGTGATTATTATACGTTTATTTTCCTACCGTTAATTCAATAAAGCAATTGAAAGTGTGCCCATCCTTGACTACCTGAAGAGGGATTACAATTAGTTCTCGCCAGGGTTATAATCATTTGGTATTTTCCCCGAAGAGTTTTTAATTGCATTTTGTTGTTGAAATGTAGTTACTTTATGTTTTTTGCAGTATTTTTCATTGCTTTTCTTGGGAGTAGTGGTGCCGCGGCAGAGATTGTCCTCATGGCGTTAGAATCTGACAATTGGCAGTGAACACATCGCATGACCTCATTGTAGCACTAATTCAAACCAGACCACATAAACACTTAGTGGTCAAAGTACACTAAGGAAAACAAATGCAAGATAATAAAGGATAACGAAAACATACAGTGCAGTTAAGCCCCCGCGGCTTTTTTTTTTTCCAGCCTGTTGTGGCCCTGACACACTTTCCATGGTCTGCCTGATAACAAAAGTCACTTTGTGAATAAAAGGACGCTCTGAGAGTCAAGCTGGCTGTTACTGGTGCATTCTGGGTAAGGCGTTTATTTTTGGAGCCAGCACAGATTGTCCCGCTTTCTGCTTTTCTCATTCATTATGTATCAGCCCCGTCGAGAGTGCTTCCTAAGAGCAACTCGCAGCAGGATGGCAGCTGCTCCCAAGGAAGGGGGTGTGTCCACTCGGACGGGGTGTTGAAGGTGATGCGCGGCTTGGAACATTTGGGAATGGCTGTTGTATGACGTAAAAGCAACAGAGCTCAACGCTAAATGAGGTTTGTTTCTGGTTTTATTGGCAAGTTGCTTGGTAGGGTTTAGTGGTGCGCTACCTCGTTTGGCGCATTGAACGAGGTGCGTCGCATAAAACGTTTGAAAAAAGCTGGAATGATGGTTTGTAGGGTGTTGCGCGAGAGATTAGGAGTGAACAAAGTTTGTCAGGATGCTCAAAGGGTTGCGTGGCTAAAAAAGTTTCAAAATGGCTACTCTACAATATAACCAACCATGAGTCATCCTGCGCCAACATCACTGTATGGGAGTGTTGAATCTTATTAATCTCATCACTGAGTAAAACGAGTGAAACCGCATGTGTTGGTTGACACTTTTGTCCGAGTCCTTTCCTGTCTGTGACGGGATAATGACAGAAGGCGCACCCCCCCAAAATAATCTACTCACGACTTGGAGCAAGTCATCATGAATGGTGTTTGTCTGTCTGACAGGGCTCAGACAAATAAGAGGCAGATCCGGGGCGGACTCTACCGAGTCCCGCGTTTAGGATGGCCGCTGACGCCGTCAGCATTCCCAGCCCGGTGGTGCGCCAGATCGACAAGCAGTTCTTGATCTGCAGCATCTGTCTGGAGCGATATCACAACCCCAAAGTTCTACCTTGCCTGCACACTTTCTGTGAAAGGTGAGTTGTTTTGATTTGATAACCAAACAGCTTTGCCCTGAACAATACCTTTGCTAGCTTAATGGGAAAGGACAGTCGGATGCTCACGGTTAGCATTGATAGTTGCAATTTTAGATCTTTAAAGCAAATTGAGACTAATATAACCTACGCCCTGTACAACTCCATTGAAAAAATACATTTAAAATGAAGTGAGATAATGTGGTTGCGCAAGTGTGCACACCTTGTCATTACTGGGATATCGCTGTGCTCAGAATTCTCCGCACACTTTCAAACTCATCGGCACACCCCTGCCACCAGTTCACATGTCTCCGATTAATCCCAATTAAAGTGTTTTCTGACATATTTTTGCTTTCGAGCAGAAGTCACGTATGTTGCATTCATGGTGTGTGGTTGGGGAGGCGGGGGAGGGGGTGAAATGCTTTCTCTTGTTCTTATATCTCTGTACCACAGAAAGCCTGGCATTTGAACGGGTGTGTAGACTTTTTCTATCCACTGTAAGTGGAAAAATATAGTAAGAAATATAAATTTGACGGAAAATATTGTGTTCATTATTAAAATGAAATGTCATGAAAAATTCAAAATCTGCCGTTAAATATATTGATACAATTAAATAAAATCAAGGAGGAATCATTCCGATGAAATGTAAATATTGAATACGGAGAAAAATGGAGCTGACTAGCTGGGTGATGACATGACAGGCAGTGCAGTTGGCACCAATCTCTCAACCGACCTTTTGTTTGAGGGACAAAAGAGACCCTGTATGACACTGGTTGCTTCTCAACTCAAATACATCTTTTATTTCAAAGCGTCTGCATCGATTTAAAAAAAAAGCGACATTGAAGACTTATTTTGTTGATAAAACATGCATTTTAGGTTTATTGAAGACTCCAAATTGTCTTTGATTCTGATTAAAATGGGTTCATTTACTTTGTGTCCCCCGCAGGTGCCTGCAAAACTACATCCCGGCCCACAGTCTGACGCTGTCGTGCCCCGTGTGCCGCCAGACGTCCATCCTGCCCGAGAAGGGGGTGGCGGCGCTGCAGAACAATTTCTTCATCACCAACCTGATGGACGTCCTGCAGCGCTCGCCAGCCCATCGCCGGGTGGGCGGCGGCGGCCATGAGGCGGCGGCCGTCCTCAACGACATGGCCACCGTGGCGGCGGGGCAGCTGCTCTCCTGCCCTAACCACGGAGGCAACGTAAGCGGAACGCCGAGGCGGCGTTGCCAAAGCCTTGCTCAATGACGATGCATTCTACAACATGATGAGATGTGATTTCCTTGCGGCTCAGGTGATGGAGTTCTACTGTCCGCCATGCGAGACGGCCATGTGTCAAGAGTGCACGAGTGGCGAACACAGAGAACACCCCACCGTGCCGCTGAAAGACGTCGTGGAGCAACACAAGGCCTCGTTACAGGAGCAGATGGACGTCGTCAAGAGGAGGTACGCCTGGGATTTTTGTCAAAAGAATTCTGGGGTGTTGTTGGACATTTTCAAAAACAACTCGTGATCAACCGACATGTGTCCTCGAATCAGCATCACAGGTACCCTCAAACTTGTAATGAGTCAGTCCGATTGAAGGGTGACAAGTAGTTACTCTGTTGGTTGGTGATGTGGTGTGTACTACGTTAAACGTGGACCAGAGGAAATCCCGTTCAAGTCTACTGGAAATACAGCGTGGAAGCAGTTAATCCCATCTTTGTGAATCACTGCAATCCCAGTTCTGTCCTCGGAAAAAAAAATGTTTTGTTTTTTTTTTTGTCAGGTTGCCGGAGATCGACAGCGCCCTACTGATGCTTTCAGAGGTCCTGCAACGGCTGACCGGTCGAAAGAGCGCCATCGAGGAGGACATCCACGCCGCCTTCGACGAGCTGCAGAAGACGCTCAACGTACGCAAGAGCGTCCTGCTCATGGAGTTAGAAGTCAACTTTGGCCTCAAGCAGAAGGTGAGCTCACCTCAACATAGTTTTTGTGTAAAGGTCAAAGACTATTTTGCCTTCAAATAACCAAATACACTTTTTTTTTGTGGGGGGGGGCGTTGCAGTTAGAGTCCTCAATGAAGCAGGTTTTTAGCAATCGTCAAGGAGCTGGAGGATGAAGCTTAACTTTAACGTTTTCGTAAACATCATTGACAATTGAGTCTTCAATGAATCCGACTTAATGTTTATTTTTGGAAACATCAAAGACAATTCTGAGTCCTCGTTAAACCCAAGATAAGTCTTTTTGTAAACGACAGACACTTGTGAGTTGTCCCTGAAAATCCACTGGAGTGCTAATGCTAATCATACATTGAGAGAAGAGGCCTGCAGATTTCCGGCCCCGTGCTAGCTCACCCATTCCCCATCCCCAAAACCAATCATTTGCTTGGCTTGCCGTCCCCTGGAGCTGAATCACATGCTGATGACTCACCATTGACTCTCCTCCCAGATTGAGGAGGTTGGGAGTGGGCCAGGCTTGGTGGGTGGAGCGAGCTTGTGTTCCATCCGCTTGTAGATAGATGGAGCCAGTGTACAGGGTGCACTCGCAGGGTGTGTCACACTGCATCCAAGTCCTTCAAGGGGTACCGCGGTGTCTTTGGGGGTGGGGGGGTCAAAGACTGTGCCAGACTAATGGACTTTTGGAGCCTGAGGAAAAATGCACAATGGCCTCAGGCGGTGAACCAGAAGAAGAGTGTGACAGGCTGATTCACGTGAGTTCGCTTTGGTATTTGGTAAAACAACAGGACGGTGTCCAGGGGATTCAGATTTTTATGGTCCCTTTGGGGTCTTTGATAGCCACTTGCAAACTGTGTATTGGTGTTTTCAAAAGAACTTAATAGCAAGTCCGGCCTCTAAAAGAGTGGTGACAGTTTTTTGTTTGTGTCCCGGCCCGGCTTGCTGACGTAATTAATACACCACTATAGAACAATATTGCCCCCTGCTGGTTGTCTCAAAACACACTTTGCGTTGCTTGGAGCCTAAATTGTCTTTGTGTTCACTGAAATGTGCACACTTAATTGTTTTCAGCGTCAATGAAAACACCCCAAACTTGTATGGCAGCTTTATTGACGACTGCATTTACTTTGATGGTTACTAAAACATACGGTGCATTCGGTTTATGGAGGACAATAACATGTCTGACAAAAACGCATGTTAGGTTTGCTGAAGACTTAGGTTAAGTGAAGACAATGAATTGTCATTTATTTTTACATTAGGGTCACTGAAGACTTAAATGTTTGATATTTTCAAAAACTGGGACAGCATGTTCGGCTTGTTGGTGACTCTAAATTGTCTTTGATGTTTACTAAAATCAAGATGATCTGGTTCTCTGATTGTCGTTGACTATAAATGCGTGTTTGTTTTGCTGTTGGCGAAATTATCTCTGAGGTTTCCGAAAACACATACTTTAGATTCCCAGAATCAGGAGTCATTATTGAAGACTCATTATTGTATTTTAGGTCTACAAAAAACACACATTTTCTATTTACTCTCGGCTCTACATTGTCTGTGATGTTTACAAACACCCCTGTCTGTTACCACCAAGTAACCCTTCCGACCTACTGCCGGTTGTTTGTGTGCATGCGTGCAGGTGCTGCAGGCTCAGCTGGACAACCTGTTGCAGGGACAGGACGGCATCCGCAGCAGCTGCGACTTCACCGAGCAGGCCCTGAGCCACGGCGGCGAGGCCGAGGTGCTGCTGGTCAAAAAGCAGATGAGCGAGCGCCTGGCGGAGCTGGCGGCGCAAGAGCTCCCCTTGCGGCCTGGCGAGAACGACCAGCTGGACTGCTGCTTGGAGACAGAGTGCGTGAAGAAGTCCATCCACAACCTGGGCAGCGTGGTGACCACCAACGCTGTGGCGTCTGAGACGGTGGCCACTGGCGAGGGCTTGCGGCACTGCGTGGCGGGGGTGCCCACCTCCATCACCGTAACCACCAAGGTTAACGCCGCGCATCGATTCACGATGTACTGTGGTGCCACACAAGTTTAATTTGTCTCATCTTTCCCCTTTGAAATGAATGGAAATTCCATTAATTTAAAAAAGGCATCTTAAAAATCTTAAAAAGGCATTGAATACATGAATCAAACTCTTAAAAAATGTCAACAAATGAGAAGTTGGCTATTATGATTGTAAATAATCTCATATGTTAAATTAAATTCTTAGGAAAACAACACTGGTCAACACATTTTTAAATCGGTGATGCAAGTAAACTTTTTTTCAATGCTTCTTTTTTTGTAATTTAAAAGATATATATGTTATTTTTTGTGCCGATTCCAAATCTTGCCCTTGTTTTTTTCTCCACCCCATCAGTATTTCATAATAATAAAAAGATAAGAAGAAATGTGAGGAATTCCTAGATGGTGTTTCTTTGCCTCTGTAAAGCACTATGAATTTTCCTTGTGTCTCAAATGAGCTCTACAAATCAAGCCGCCTTTGTCTTTTCCTCAGGACAAAGACGGCGGGCTTTGCAAGATGGGCAACGCCGTCCTGACGGCGGAGATCTCCGCGGCCGACGGCAGCAAGGGCGACGGCGAGATCCTGGACAACAAGAACGGCACCTACGAGTATCTGTTCACTGCTCCAAAAGAGGGCACCTTCACGTTGTCCCTGCGCCTGTACGAGGAGCATATCAAAGGCAGCCCTTTCAGGACCAAGGCCAGCAAGTCGGCGGACGCTTCGGCGGCATCCGACGACGTCAAGAAGAGGCTCAAGTCGCAGGGCAGCAGCGGGCACGTCAAGCAGAGGGCCATCAAGAGGCCCGCCAGCATGTACAGCACCGGGCGCAGGAAAGAGAACCCCATCGAGGACGACCTCATCTTCAGAATCGGTATGCGCTTTCGTTTTTGTAAACATTCAAGGACGGCACAAAACTGCTGAACAGCCAATCAACATTCAATGCAAGGACTCATTTTGTGCATTTTTTTTTTTTTCACAAAAGTCAACTCACTCAAAATGATATTATTCAGGTACTATGTTTGTTTGTTTTGTGTAACAAAAATTGTTTGGCCTCCTGGTGTAGCAATAGAGGGCGATAAAGGGTGTAGGTGCAGCTAAATCATGTCTGCCATCTAGTGGTGAATGGTGACATTAGAACTTAAAACTACAGCTGATAAATATTTGCAGTTCGCAACCCACAAATTTGCATATTCACAGATTTGTTTTTTATTTCTTATTCAATGTTTTTAACATTTTGATTTTTTTCAAGATTTTTTTTTCCCCCAAGTGTCTTGTGGAACACATATTGAATGTGGAGCACATTTTTTAAACATTTGTTTTTTACAAATAAAACTTTTTTTTTTAATTAATCAATGGGCTGCTCAGAATGCCCAGTTGCCTATCCTTGATTTAACACGTGTTTCTGACAGTTTCGCATAGACGAGTCAAACTTGCGGGTTTCTCTTTCCCAATGCGCAGGCACCAAAGGGCGAAACAAAGGCGAGTTCACCAATTTGCAGGGCGTTTCCACATCGGTGGGAAAAGTGCTCATCGCAGACAGCAACAACCAGTGCGTGCAGGTACAAAAGCTACAACGTTTTTTTTCGTAATCAGTCATGTTTTTATCACAACATACTATAGCTGTAGACCCTCAGGCTTTTTTGTTCAATGTGAATTCTGAATTTTCTTTCCATAATATTTCCACAATTATCCTCACAGATTTTTTTTCCACATAAATTACAGTTTTGTCTCTGTTAATATCTTGTTCCCTGAATACTACATTATTTTCCAAACCAAACAACCAGTCATTTTAATAAGGTACAACTGAAAAGAGCTAAAGATTGTCTGTTTTTTTTTTCTTTCTCCTGACAGATTTTCTCCAATGAGGGCCTGTTCCGGAGTCGCTTCGGGGTGCGGGGCAGGACCCCCGGTCAGCTGCAGCGGCCCACGGGTGTGGCCGTTCACCCCAGCGGCGACATCATCATCGCCGACTATGACAACAAGTGGGTCAGCATCTTCTCCAGCGACGGAAAGTTTAAGGTAAGCCGGGCAACGTTTGACCTGCTCGTGGTAAAAAATGTACAGGTATTTGTAATATCACTGGTTTGATGTTTGAAGAATTTTTTTTTTCATTTATCCCCCATTATTCGCTGAAAAACTCACTGATAAATTTTTATATTCAAGGCCCAAAGCATTTAAAGCATTACTTTGCCGCAATTTTCTTGCATCTTGGTGCCAAGCAACTGTATTGAGATGACTTGAGGAGCTTCATTTCGACAACTGTAGTGCTTTGGTGCCAATGTGGTGCCTGGGAACGATGTTGAGGTGGAATGGGGAGTCTCACTAAGGCAAAAACTATGTTGAAATGAGTTGAGGAGCTTCAGTTTGACAACAGTATTGCTTTGCTGCCATCTTGTGACTTCTTGTTGTCAAGGAACTCTGTTAAAGTGAAGACTGGATCTTGAGTTTGGGTAAAAATAGTGCTTTGCCTCCATCTTGGTGTCAAGGTAGTATCTACGTTGATGGGAATTGAGGTTCTTCAATTCAACAAAATGAATGCTATCTCGTGCCACTGTAGTGCCAATGAGCTACGTTGAGATTAGTTGTGACTTTTCATTTGGACAAAAACTGAGCTTTGCCTTGCTTGTGGGATCAAGAGGCACTTGAAAGCCTTTTTAGAGTGGGCAAACTACTCATGGATTTTAGCCATTTGTGAAAGGACTCGGCCCCGACCACCCACAAATAGTCTGGAGTCGCACTATCTCAATTTTTAAATGTTTTTTTTTTTTTTTTTTTTTTTGGCGGGGGGGTATAGAACAAGATCGGCTCGGGCAAGCTGATGGGTCCCAAGGGCGTGTCGGTGGACAGGAACGGTCACGTAATTGTGGTGGACAACAAGGCCTGCTGCGTCTTCATTTTCCAGCTCAACGGCAAGATGGTCACCAAGTTTGGTAACCGCGGCAACGGCGATAGGCAGTTTGCAGGTGACGGCAAACAGACCGCACGTGCACCTTCTCGTCAACATCTAAGACAATTTCGTACCCTTCGGAACAGTTTAGAGTTTTGATACAAAATCTCATGTGCGTGTTTTTTTTTTTTTTTTTAACCAAATACCAAAGAAAATGTCGTGTCTTAAATGGACTAATGTGCAAGTCTGTCCACTGAGATGGCTTTAAACTGTTTTTATTCAACTTGTTTTGATTTTTTTTCTTGCCATTCAGGGCCTCACTTTGCTGCCGTCAACAACAACAATGAAATCATCATCACGGATTTCCACAACCACTCAGTCAAGGTAAGGCGTGTTTGATCAGCGCACCGATTTGGGATCGCTTCGGAACAAATGGCGGGAAAATGTGTCGCAGGTGTTCAACACGGAGGGGGAGTTCCTGTTGAAGTTTGGCTCCAATGGCGAAGGCAACGGTCAGTTCAACGCCCCCACAGGGGTGGCCGTGGACGTCAACGGGAACATCATCGTGGCGGACTGGGGCAACAGTAGGATCCAGGTCAGTGCTCGACAGGGGCTTCGTTTTAGTTACTTTTTATTTTGTTTGGAGTTGTTTGTTTTTTTTTTTTTTTTGTTAAATGTGTTTTTGAGCAGGTTTGCTCGTTTTTATTAGATTGTTTTTTCAAAATGCTTAGTTTTAGCTTAGTTTTCATTAGTTGTAGCATTTGTTTTTTTGTATTTCTTGTGTGGAAAATTAAGGCTCACGGTAAGTATTGGGTAGAAATTCACCAAATATATGACTTAAAAAAACATCCACAAATGAAATACAGGTACTGTGTAACAGTCCACCGACTTTGAATGAAAATGCAATGCCTAACACAGCTTCCACAGTTCAATATCAGCATTATTTGCAACGTATCGGATAGGGCTGCCGATACCAGCCACCGATACTTCATTCATTCATTTTCCGAACCGCTTTATCCTCCCAAGGGGTCACGGGGGGTGCCGGAGCCTATCCCAGCTGTCTTCGGGCAGTAGGCGCGGGAATAGGTTGCCAGCCAATCGCAGGGCACACAGAGACGAACAACCATTCGCGCCCACACTCACACCTAGGGACAACAGAGTGTTCAATCAGCCTGCCATGCATGTTTTTGGAATGTGGGAGGAAACCGGAGTACCCGGAGAAAACCCAGGCAGGCCCGGGGAGAACATGCAAACTCCACACAGGGAGGATGGAGCTGGAATTGAACCCGGTACCTCTGCACTGTGAAGTCGACGTGCTAACCACTGGACTACCGGGCCGCCCCCACGATACTTAAATCCCCAAAATAAAAAATTAAATCAAACCAAGTCCTCCTCGTGAGCAGTTGGTGCTGCACTGTGCCAATTTGAAACTCTATTGGGGAGTACCCAAGTGCGCATTTTCAAACTGGTATCGGTCTGAAAAAATTGTGGTATCGACCCTCACTAATTGAGGATAAGCAGAGCAGTGTCCCACTGGAGCCAGCAGATAGAAAGAAAAACTGTTTTTCTCCTTACTTAAGATGATATTCATGTCAGGTGTTCGACGGCAGCGGTTCCTTCCTGTCCTACGTCAACACGTCGGCCGACCCGCTGTACGGCCCTCAGGGTCTGGCGCTCACTTCGGATGGACACGTGGTCGTGGCCGACTCGGGAAACCATTGCTTCAAAGTCTACCGCTACTTGCAGTAGCCCCACACGCGCTCCCCACAATAAACTACGACACACACACGCACAGTATTGTGTGTGTGTGCACTCACGTAAGGAGCGGATTTGCACTCATCCACAATCACCTGTTGTGTGCCATTTGTGCCACTGGGACTGCCTGTTTTTTTTTGTTTTTGTTTTGTTTGTTTTTTTTTTAGGTTTTTTTTTGTTGTTGTTTTTTGTGCTTTTAGGAGTCACTTAAAACCAACGTACACATTCCATTGCATAATTTTGCCTGATGACTTAAAAAGTATCATACCAAGGAGTATTAATGCTATGATGAAAAGGGGAAAAAATTGTAACAATGCAAAGGAAAAAAAAACAATACAAAAGAGGTTAAAAATATATATATAATCAAATGGAAATAAAGACATGATATCGTGAGAATATTTTTTATCAGTTATGTCACATTCAGAACAAAATGTTTGACTCTATGAGGGAAAACGTTGCAACATTAAGAGAATAAAATGTTTAGGGTTAGGGTATTAGGGTAAATATTTTGACAATATTTCCGTCGCGCGGATAAAGACGGAGAGTTGAAAAATAATGTTGGAAGAATAACAGCATCTTGACAAGAAGGAGAATTAAGATGGAATATCAAGGAGGGAAAAAAAAGCAAGTTTTAATATTTCAAAAACAAAATGGTAGTATGATAAGAAGTCGTCACCAGGAAAAGAAAGTTAACGTCACGAAAAAAAAAAGGAACAAGAAGGGTTTTTTTTCCCAGAAAGTGGTCAGATTTTGTTTTCATCTTTTTTCACTTTTCTAGTAAACTAGGATTTCAACTTGTCACAATAATTTGGCTTCATTATTGGAAAAAAAAATCTTGTGTTCCATTTTTTTTCCTCATCAAAATTAATATTCCTTGAATACTTCAATTTCATCCCAAAATTTTTTTCTCTCATGATGACTTTTCATTATTATATTCATATTATGACTGTTCTTGAAAAAAAATCGTACTTTTTCTTGAAACATTCCGATTTTAGTCATGTGACATTAAAACTTTTATTGTCAAAAATGAACAATTATAAAATAATCCTTAAAATTTTACAATTTTATTCGGGTCACATTTAATCATTTTTACTCCTCAATTTTCCTCGGAAATTGTGATTTTTCTTACGTAAATCCTTTTTTTCTGTCTTTATTCTCATGTCATTTTCCTTGTAATTTACTAATTTACTCTTGTGAATATTTTGACTTTTTACCCCCTCTTGTCAAACTACAACTTTCTTCTCGTTGTACATTTTTTTTCCCTTTTCATCATGGCCCGAATAGCCCTCGGTTGCTTTGCACTGCATAACGCTGTAGCGGACAGAGTCTCACTCTATTTCTTCGGACAACGCACTCAAGTTATAACTGAGATATGTGTCGCGCAAAATACGTGCATGTCCACTACATGCGGTGTGATACAATAATGCTAAACATATGCATGACTTTAATAAGCATCAATGTCGCGTGTCACCGATTAGAGGAGAGAGAGAGAAAAAACAAAAACCCTAACCCACGTGCTACTGAGTCACTAAGTGCAATCTGCTGTGTTGTGACGCCTTACACCTTCGAACCAAAAAATATTTGACTAGAATTACGTACTAATAAAGTATATTGTAGCAAATAAATAGTTTAACCGTACAGAGACTACAGGCTGCAACGTTTTTGACGAGGATATTTTTTTCTACCCATTCTTATCAAATTATGTTTTCCATTTTCTTGTTTATCTTTCTCTTGATGTAGAATGGAATTAAAGTGCCCACTGGGAAAAAAAAACATTGTTTCTAATGTCTTTCTCTCATGATGATTACATGCTGTCGAAACATCATAATTTGACAAATTTTAATTTTTGCTATTGACATGAAAACATACTATTACTATTTGAAATATTTTATCTTCTTTTGGTAATATTACACTGATTGTAAAATATATTTTGCTTTTTTTTCTCATATTATGACTTCTTTCCTATTTGCAACTTTTTTTTTAAATTTACAACTTGGCTGACTTTTTACCGTAAATTATTATTTTATCCTAAGTAGTTTGATTTTTTTAATTAAAAAATGAAATTTCTCATATCATTACAAATTTATCATCTTATGACATGACAACTTTTTTAAAATTGAGTTACGATTTTGATATCTACACGTTATAATCACATTCGGAATTGATTCTGGTATAATCTTTCTTTTAATATTACAATTCTATCATGGTCATAATTCAAGTTCTCTCTTAAAATTAAGGTGCCTTGACCACCATCGGAAACCATTACACTTTCAACAATAAACAGTTTTGCCGGATTTTTGATCATATAAACATGCAGTGCTGCTATCCTTTGTCAACATGACTGATGAAAAGTGACAAACATTAAGATAAGCGCATTTCTTTCCGACACATATTCCATAACAAAAACATGTGACTGCGTTAGCTTGGTCTCATAATCTAACAGCAGTAGTAGCTATAGTTTCCGGGATACACTTGAATGCGACACAGTGCGGTCCCTTGACTGGACCTCCGCGGGAAATTCAGAAGCGCCACGACACTCTATTTTCATTTGGAGCCAAAACAAAACAAACAGGACAAGTATCAGACAAAAAAACGTTTTCACAACGATTTATCAGGCATTAGCGATAGTGTACTATTGTAGGCGGCCTAATCATCAAAATGGTAAGCTATTTTTGGTGTTTCTAGTAGCGTTTAGACGAGTATCGAGCTGGAAGTGACGTCTTACGGGTTTCACTTACTCAAAATTCCTCCGTTTTTACTTGAATGACATAGTACCGAATTGTTTAAGTCATTTAATTTGTGTTTTATTTGAAAAAAAATCGCGATAATGTCAACTTTTCTGAGAAAATGGTCGCTGAATGGATAGTTAGTAGTTAGCGTAAATGGATGCCTCCTGTCGCAAATCAGCGTCGTCTCAACACCGAATTTCATTTTACGTCTTTACTAGATTAAAATATAATGAAACGTGAAAAATAAGCGTGTTTTTAAAAAAGATTTTTTATTTTGGTATTTTAATTATCACTGCTATTTCAGTCCAAAAAGAAAGGACTAAGTTTGGAGGAGAAGAGAAGTCGTATGATGGAGATTTTCTTTGAAACCGTGAGTAATAGTCGGTGATTTATACACAAATCTTCACAAAAATAATGGTTGCCGTCTTTTTCTAATACACAATAAAATACTTATTTCTATTGTTGTTGTAGAAGGATGTATTTCAGCTGAAAGACATCGAGAAGATTGCCCCTAAAACAAAGGGAATAAGTAAGTAAATTATAATCCACAATCATAAAAAGCATTTAAAAATGACCCCGTTAACTATATTGAATATGTAGCAGTGCTACACCATGCAGAGAAACGACAGCTCTGTGTTGTATAAAAGTGCCTTTGCTTCAACAATAACAATGTAGTTGGCCGGGCTGGGCCCTGATTAAAAGCACATGTTTTTGAGCCCCTTACTCGGGCATGAAGTCGTTACTTATTGACGACGGGGAGAGGAGGGGAAGAGGGGCGTTTCCTGGAGATCCTTAATGTTTTCCCCAATATCCGACTGCTGGTGTTGCTCTGAATACTTTTTTTTTTTAAATTAAAGAAGTGTCACATTTCAGATGTCATTCTGGCTTGGCTACATTCTCTCCAAATGCCTTACAGGCCGCAGATGTTTTTGCTTTGTTGACATTAGAGAGGCACACACATTAAAAAAAAAAAAAGGAAAAGAAAAAAAAACATTCCGTCTGCAGTCAAATGCAAGCCAATCCAATTTTCCTGTAGAAAATTACAGAAATGGAGATCATCAGAATCGGATTGGATTCATCTCTTCTGGAATAAGTTTATTGCTGTTTAGTATAACTGATGAACGAAATAAATGATTCGGGCACATTTTATAAAATGAAATGCGGAGCTCTCCAATTACCACCATAACAGCCGGGGATGGAAGAGGGCGCCATGTCGTGTGATGTCCTGTCTGTGACGCCTTTTCAGCGCCCATGACGGTGAAGGAGGTGCTGCAAAGCCTGGTGGATGACAACATGGTGGACTGTGAGCGTGTGGGCACGTCCAACTACTACTGGGCTTTCCCCAGCAAAGCTCTGCACACTCGCGAGCTCAAACTGGAGGAGCTGAACAAACAAGTGAGCGCACATGGAAAAAAAAATACATTCTGAATCTGATAACTTCTCTCTTTTGGGCCCTTGACGTTAACAACAAGAACGATGAATTACAAGCAGAACACTTGCCAATTTTAGAATACTTTGTCCTTTTTTTTTTCTTTTTTTTTTACCAAAAAAGAAAAAAATCGGCAATTATTATTTGTAGATTTTAGTATCATTCAATCGATTAATGAGTTGGGGCCTAGGATTCCGCCAATGGAAGGTGCAGTTGAATGCAGGCCCATATTGATCTAGTTTACTCCCTGAATGGGTTGCTGCTTTTTTTTTCCCCAGTTGCAATCTAACTGTAATGCAAGACTGTTTATATTCAAAGGTGTCAGAGGCAAAGCAGCGCCAAATTTCTCTGCAGGACGCGATTGGAAAAGCCAAAGAAGGACGTCAGGATACAGTAAGAATACACGTTTGCGAGCAGATCAAATGTTAAATGTGCTCACAAGTTGATTGACCGTGTGTGTGTGAATGTGTAGAAAGAGAGGAGCGGCATGTTGAAGGAACTTCAGGCTCTGAAAGACGAGCGAGCTCAGCTGCAGACTGAGTTGGACAAGTACAAGGATTGCGACCCACAAGTTGTTGAACAGATGAGTGAGTACTAGTGACTAGCCGAGCCAATTTAATCGGCCAGCACTGGCTATTTTAAAATAAGCAAAAATCTGGCAATTTATTCCTTTTTTTTTTTTAACATTATTCCTTTTTTTTTTTTTAACACATTAACACATTACAACGTAGGTCAAGAATGATGATGTGTTTTTCGTGATGCAGGCGTCAATTTGAGGGAGGTGTTTATTTGTATTTTTTTTTTTTATCAGTGGATGACACACACACACTTTTAAGGACATGGCATCCATTTAAGGCTTGGCTAACATTTGAGGAAATAAGATAATTAACTGAGATAATTACACAAGCAAACCATTTTCTTCCTGCTTGGCCATCCATCTTGAGACAGGCGTTTATTTTATTTGTTGTTTGACACACCCCGCGACTAATCAAGGCACTGCGTCTGCCTACATATATATTTTTTTCACCGACGGAGCATCAATTAGCGGGATGTCTGTTTTTCTCAAATGAATCGGCATCTATTTGAAGGCGACTCATTTTCATGTCTCGTAAACGTACGTAACCTGTAGTTAGGCATCAGTTGTGCAGCGTGACGCCGACAGATGTGAGAGAACACCGTGTTCACCTCACGTCACTGGAAGGCTTAAATGATCCAAATTTCTCACTGCTATTGAAGATCAATCAAATGTATCAAAGAGAGGGTTTGAAATGAGAATACATTTTTATAAAGCGTGTCGTGCACATTGATTTCTTTAAAAAAAAAAAAAAGAAGAGGGGAATAAAATATTGAACTTTCAGTATTACAAATAGCATTTGGCACTGATTTGATGGAATTTTCTATATAATGTAAATATATGTAACGTATTACATATACACATTGACAGATGTAAATTTCGATATTCATTTGAAAAATATCAGACGCACACTTGTTGTTTTTTTTTTTTTTTTCTTAATGCATTACTGTTGTAGTGGATGCAAATACTTCAAACCAAAGACAATCGGGAGTCGGGTGCCAGAAAAGCGTGATCGGGACATCCCTTTGTAATGAATCTGGTTTCACAATGTAAACTCATTAGGACTTTTTCTGCCTTGGACTGCCAACTCGTTCTATCATTACCGTGAGTAATCCACAAACCAGTTTGCCTTTTCTCGTTTTGCAGGAAAATCAAACATGGTGGCCAAAGAAGCTGTTTCTAGGTGGACAGGTGAGTCATTTTCCGGCACACCCTGCTTGCAATTAATTTCAAAGGAGCACGAGTGCGGCTTGTGAAACAAGTGACATGTGAAGACTCTCGTTTTCTCTCTCTCTGTCCTATTGTTGACTCCCCAAGTGTAACCATGGTGACGGTCAAAATGCCTCGGTCTGTTTGACCGAGCTGGAAGTGAACAAAAAGCAAAACAGGAAGTGAAAGGTGAAGAAAATGGGGTCGGTGTGCCGTTGAATTGAATGATACGCGCATATTCAAACAAGAAGACGAATAAAAAAAAAGATTTGGGGAAAATACAGCTGATCTCTTCTTTTAAAGAATGGCTTTATGAAAATGGCATACTTTTGTTCCATTTCTGGCACATATATTCATTTCCAAGGTGCCGAAATAGGTTGCTGTAGAAACAGAAAGGAAAAACGGAAAACAAAGAGCACAATTACAATATAGTATATCCAGGCCCCACTACGAATTAGCCACCGAAACGGGTCGCTAGAGTAGATGGAACAGAAAGTAAACAGAATTCCGCTGGTGGCGGGCACACATTTACCCTTTGGCTCGACTAGTTTGCCGCTTAAATGGGTTGCTGTAGAAGCTGAAACAGAAAGCAAACAAGATTCCTCCAGTGGAGGGTACAATTGCAGTCATGGCCAATACGTTTGCTGCCTAAAAGGGTTGCTGTGGAACCTGAAACATAAAGTAAACTAGTCGTGGTTATGATTTTATACAGACCCCGAAAACGTTTGCTGTCCAAACATGATGCTGAATACGATGAAACAGAAAGTAAACAGGACTCCATCAGTGGTAGACCGCTTAAATGGGTCACTATAGAAACGGGATTTGGAGGACACAATTACATTCTCAACCAACTAGTATGTTACCTAAACAGGTTACTGAATCAGCTGAAACTGAAAGAAGCACAATCAGACCCGGCCGAAAAACCCTTGCGCTTTCTTCCTGCCCCGACTGAATCATGGCTTTCCAATTCCAAGAACACGATCAACACCTCTGTCCCCCGACTAGGCGTACCCGTCAAACCACCCACATTCAAAATTATTTTTTTGTTTGTCTTTCCAGACAATGTTTTTGCCATCAAGTCATGGACCAAGAAAAAGTTTGCGTTCGATGACAGCCGCATCGACAAAGCCTTCGGGATCCCCGAGGACTTTGACTACTTGGACTGACTGACTCTCGGTTCTCCAGTTGAAGGACGCACGTCTTGTGTGACCAGATGGATCTCATCGGCTCATGTTTGACTTGTTCGCGCAACCGGAGACGAAACAAAGAGCGTCCATTAGCGGGTTAGGTGACAAAAACTGTTTTGCATCTGTTGGCCTAAAAGCCGGACTTCCCGAGGAGATCCGTCATCGTTGAATTTTGCCTTTTTCGATTGTTATCGCAGGGTTCCATTCATTGCCACTTGACAATGCAAAACGTTTCTTCGTTTCTACCCCGGGCCCGTACAAACGATATTTCTGTTACGAGCCAACAAAACGGGAACAATTCTGTCACGGCATGTCAGCGATGACGACTGGCATCTTCTGCAAAACGAGATGCGGATCGGCGGTGTGTTTACTCAGATAAGCTCAGTGAGTCAACGCATGTACTCCAGCGTTCTGTTTTTCCACCGCTTACGCCGTAAAAGACGTCACTTTATTTTTTGCTTTACGATACGCCAGGCGGCTTTGTGACTGCAGTGAAAATGTGCTGACCCTGTGAAGTAGCTCAAGAGATAGAGGAGAGGGGGAGAAAAATGTCCATAAATGCCTGAGTGCAGGTTTGTTTGGACACACCCACCTGCGGCGTAACATCGCTCGTGTGTGTACTTGCCCAACCTGTCATCGCCGCCAATCGTCACGCTCTTTCGTGCTGAATTTACTGGCGACTCAGGGAAGCACACTTGGAACGCTCACATGGTGTTATTGAGCAGATGAGGAACGGGACCTCGCACTTCCTTTTTCACGGCAAATACTCCAACCTGTCATCTTCCAGTTGGGGATGCACAGGGATTATTCGATAGTAGAGCGTTCTCGGTCCAGGAACCACTTATTTACCGGCCAGAAATGTTTCCGAGGATTCCCGTCAGAATCCTCCTTCCGGTTAAGCATCACTGCAATGTGTAGCTCTCAAATGTCCTCACATTTTTTTTTCTTTGAGGAAATGTCATGTTTCCCAAGAACAGAAACATGTTTTTGTTGGATGAAAAGTCATCATCTTTCAAGATTAAAATAGTCCTCTTCCAGGATAATGTGCAATACGTTGTTGGATGTGGACTGATTTGGGTGAATGATGTGAAATGATGTGGGGGGGGGGGTTGCTGGATGTTGAATGAGATGAAATTATGGTGGGAAGTGTTGACTGATATTGAGTGATGTGGGATGATTGGAATTAATATTGGTAAAAAAATCTTGATTGATTTGGAATTATATTTGTGAAAATGTGGAATTCTTTGCATGTGGAAATTTCGGGGTTGTAGAAAAACGTTCCCAAGGGGAGTTCAACATTTAGAATGTGGAATGACAACAATGTGACTTTGTGACGGTGAATGTAACATTGGGACTGAATTGGCAATTTTGGGTGGAACTGTGGGAAAAACTCTTGTTTTATTTTTAAAGAGGCTAAATAATATTACCCCGACTGGGGTGACACACAATTGACTTCACTTTTGTCGACCACGTCGCTGCTTGCTTGCGCATTGCGCATGCGCCGGAGTAGACCGTGGAAGGGAGGGAGGCGGGAGCGAGGGAGGGCCGGAGTGCTAGCTGGCGGAGGAGGCTGGGGGGCGGCTGCTGTGGCTGCTGTGCGCCGAGACAACGAAGGAAGCACCGAGCGAGCGAGTGCGGCGGCGGTGTGGTGAAACACAAGGCATGGCGGGGCCGCAGGACTTCCAGCAGGGCAGCTACTGTCACCGGAAGACGTGGCTCAACGTATTACTGGGAATATTGCACTTAATTTTACACTGCGTGCAGAACGGAGGAGCTCAGAGACAAGGTTCGTCCGGAAAAAAAAACAAACAAAAACAAAACAATCATCTTTTTTTTCTCCTCCCGTAACGTCAAGTTCGCCAGGCGTTCATTTGACAGCGCTCTCGAATGGGGCTTTAATAGTTCGCTTCACGCTTTCTTTACACCCGCGCGCTTATTGAAGTGTTTTTCGACACTTGTAGCTCCGAGCAGTTTAGAAGGAAAACGTGACACAAAAGGTTTGTTTGTGTGAGCAAGTTGGCTTAGCCGCCGTGCTAATGCTTCCTGCTAACTAGCGAGCTTTTGTCAAAGCGATGCCAAGTCATGTCACCCTTTTCGTTTCGTTCATGCGCTCGCTCGGAACGAGGAGCTACTTTCGTTACCGCCGATAAATCTGCGGATCGCTGCTGAAGAAACTTCCCACCTTACGTCTGACCTGATATTTTGTTTTTCTCGCCCATTCAAAAGCTCTGAATCAAATGGCCACCAGCGTGGTTGAGGTCTGGCAGCCGGAGGATGCAGATACGCTTGTCCCGCTGCAGGTAAACGCCACACCTTATTTATGCACGTTTGTAAATATAATTTTTCAGAAGTAGTTTATTAATTTATTAAAAAAATTTCGCCCCAAAAAGAGCTCCAACCGGGTAAACGCCACACCTTATTTATGCACGTTTGTAAACATAATTTTTCAGAAGTAGTTTATTAATTTATTTAAAAAAAATTCACCCCAAAAAGAGCTCCAACCCGGAGCACGTGTGTGACATCCATTGTTTGTCTTCACGGTGCACATGTGCACCCCCCCTCCTCCTCTTTTGTCCCCGTACTCCATTGACGATTATCGCAATTTTAGTTTTCCAAGGACTTTGTGTATTTATAAATGATGCATATGTCAGATTTTTGTCATGCAAACTGCGCCTGGTCAGCCCCTCCACCATGCGGCTTCCCTCAATGCAATGTTCTAGTCTTCACTACATCATGGAGGTGCAACAGGCTGCTTTTTTTTGGGGGGGGTACTGTACAAGACCATGATTCTTTTTTTCCTAGTCATTATTTATTAAGAATATTTGATTTATGTGAATAGAATAGCATTTTGTCACTGTAATGGGAGCAATAAAAACAGTTATTAATATTAGGCATTACATGAGTGTATTATCTTGGCTAGACCATTTCCTGAATATTTGGATATGTTTGCCTGCATGCATGTATGTCGATTAAACTGTTTGGTTGGTTAGACATTGTCATTGTGAGTATTTTTGCCATTATTTAATTTAAATAAATTAAAGTTAACTATATGAATGGAAAAATTGAGATAAAACATTTTATTTAGAAGTGTTTAAAAAATACTTTGTTGAATATTTTTTAAAATTATTATAATTATTTGTGTTTTAATTTAAATAAATGGCAAACGTATAATCTCATTGGGTTGTGTATCTAATGTTTTGGCCTCACCCTAAAGCGATGACATTTTCTGAGCAAGCGAGCGATTACGTAAGCGCACGTTAACCGATAACTCGCAGTGAGGTCGCCACAGCTGACTGTCATGTTACCTGAGGGGGCGTGGAAGAGGGACCCCTGCCGTTCCCACCAATCCCACCTAAATAGACATGCGCTGATACCACCGGTGGAGCTAAACAAGTATGAGCAACTTGCCAAGATTTCCGCAAAAAGACAAGTCTGTGTCTGGTTAGAATAACCCCCTGAGTGTAACGCTTCAAGTGTTTTGGAAATTGGTAAGATGGTGTCCGGTGAAATTCAGTTTTGTTTTTTGTCAGAGGAGTATGTTTTTGTGTTTTATCACTTGAAGAAAATGTGGTTTAAAAATCAAAGTAAAACAACATCAGCTGATGACTCGATTCACAAAGTTCAGACGACTCCGTACAATTCTGTTGATCTTTTATAGAGCAACCATTGAGTGAGTCCTGCGCTTCGGAAAAACCAGTTGGTTTGGGAACCTAACTGTTAAATCCAAGGCTCAGATAACCAGCTTGGTTAAGACATCGGGCAGCCCCCACCCCCTGCTCCCCAGGACATATAGGTGCAGTCCGTTATTCAACAGGCAAACAACATTTTAAACAATCTTTCTCATGTGCTACACTCCCAATTTGAGCTCCTAAACTCAGGAAATAGGTATAGGACTCTTCTCTGCAAATTAAATTAAACTGATATAAAAACTTATTCATACCGCAGGCTATCATCTTAATCAATAAATAGTTAGAGGGAGGCAGACAGACAAGCGGAAGGACATAAGCGGGGGTGGGGGGGCACATATGACTGAAATGTAGTGTAATGTAGACGTTGGTTTCGGTTTTTCTTACACGTTGTGTGACAGTTAAGAATATTAAAACGATAATGACAAAGGAGTCCTCATGCCTTAATTGTCCTCCCTGGCTGCCTGCTAATATGCTAGGCTACCTTGCTTCCTGTGTTTTTTGATACCTGGTTGACATCTTTTTGCGTGAGTAGGACAGTTAGCGGTCGTAAATTGTTACTTACAACATGCTGTACAGTGATTAAAAGTTGAATGGAGGGGACATTATTTGAAGCCAAATGGAGGTCACCCGTTGGGTTCGACTTTAGGAGCGCCGTTGTATTCTCTCCATTGTCAATGGTGGAATATTTTTGTGTGTCTTCAGCTTATTTGCCGCAAAACATCAACATGAGTTGTCAGCTTGTGCGTCCTTGTCGTTGTGCTCCATCAGCTCCCGTTGTGCTCACTTAATCCATTAGGATGTGACAAAACACCAATTTTCTTTGTTTTTCTTCACCAAGATGTGACCTAATACATACACATTCTATTTCGGATCGCAAAGTGGTCAATGTTCAATTCCTGAACTTAAAAAAATAAAAGAATCCACAGTTTTGGTTCTTGATCTTATTTGAGTCTATGCCTTCTGACACATTTGGCTTCATGATGGTTTGATAGTCCTGAGATGTCATTTTCGCAAAGCAGACCAGTTTTTGCTCCAAAATGCCAAATGTTTTGTACCTTGCTCGGTCTTTATCCCATTTGAGAACAATCTTTGTAACAGTAGGGATCATATCAAGTCAAAGCACTTTCATAATACACTGCTCAAATTCAAGACACCCAGTGCTGGATGTTGCAAGCAGCCCCAGAATATAACCATTGGAAATCTTTGCGACACTGGGCAAAGGCTATACCTGAGCCCAGATCACTCTGATCGGTTGCAGTCTATGTTAACATTCCTTTCTCGTTCGTAGGTGGAAAAGGGGCCAAGAAAAGATGGTCTTCCACTTGAAGACAGGTAGGTTTGTTCACGATTCGCAGTGTTAGCGTAAACCACTATGTTTGCGCATGCTCCTGATTGTTCCGCGGGCAGGCGGGCAGTTAGTTTCAACGTTTGGTCAGAAAATGTGTCCACTAGGTAGCATGCCTTAAATGCGCCAGATCAAAACTTGTCCATCTGTAGAATCCCGTCACAGAATGGGAGCAGTCTACAGTCCCTGTTCACCACAAACGATTTGTAAGACAGGTTCTTGATTCTTATTCGGCCTGTGCTTCAACTCTGCGGGGTGACATTTTGAAGAGGAAAAAAGGCTGACCTGTTTCTGTGTTAAAAAAAAAAAGTGTTTTTGATTCTAATATCACCCTTCGTAAGACTCTTGTGATCTTTTGAATGTGTCCCCCCCAAAAAAAGCAATCAACAAGTTCTTTATTCAGATTTGACCTCTTGTGAGACCCTCGGGGATGTTTTGAGTATTTCAAAAAAAACAAAAAAAAACCTTTTGCCAAGTAAACAAGGTCTTGCTTTTGATTTCACCCAGAATTAGTTTTATTTTGAACCAGCTTTTTACACATTCAAAACATTTCTTGTGGTGCGCTTTCAGTTCATAATTCCATTTGTAAAGGGCCTTCCACTGTGTTCAGGATAGCTATGTTGTTTATATTGCTGTTGTGGGCTGGGGGGCATGGAGGGGTTATGGTGGGAGGTTGGGGGCCGTGGGTAAGCGAGAGGCACAGAACAGAATTCCTGACTAATTTTAGAACTCCTTAAAAATGGAGGGGAGGTCCGTCGTTCCCAGCTGCTCCCCCTGCAAAAGAAAATGCTTTTTTTTTTTTTTGGTTTGGTTTTCCAACGGAAACATCAATAGTTTCTGGTGGGATTTAGCATCACGGTGTCTCCCCGCCGGGGCACCTTCTGGATTTTCTCATGCACTTCAAAAAACTTATTAAAAGGCAGCTAATGTGAAATCATAACCCTTATTGAAATTATAACCCTGCCCAACTCAACCCCCAAAAAAAACCTAGCTTGACAGCCTACTT